CCTTCCCTTCCCTTCCCTTCCCTTCCCTTCCCTTCCCTTCCCTTCCCTTTTTTAACCCTAAGCTCACTGAGAACCTTTCCCAGTCGCGTGATCCATTGCCTTCCTTTACTCTCCAAGCCAGTAACTTTGAGTGATTAGTAAACCAACGGATCATGATTTTTTTGCAAGTAAAACAGCCACTGAAATGTGGCAAACAAAACTCCCGCATTAGTTCATGGCATCTTCTCACAGAAGAATGTATGAATTAACTGATCATAACTGGTCTAATCTGTTTTATTAGTAGTAATAGCAAAATTCAAGTATTGGCAGAGAAAGGAGACCTTTGAAGGCAGAAAGTGCTTGGTTGGGTTTCATTACCTGCATTTGATGTATGTACAAATCACTTGGGTCCTCCCCACCTGAAATTCTATTTTTCAGTGAATTTGCATACATACACACACACATATATATATATAAATAATATATACATTTAGCTATTTATATATATGTTTTAGCAACTGGAACTGTTTCACCTCCTATCCCATGGGATTCACATTGATAATCGTATGAAGTAGGTTTGGGGATAATGAATATATGAAAGTTATTGGTATCTGGAATAGGACACAGCTCAATAGCTGCACGGCAGGTCTGTGGGAGAACAGAAGATGCTGGTCGCGTGGTGGACAAAATGACAACCTCCGCGCCGTGGCCCTGCCCGCACGCGCTGCTGCCCGACCCGCGTCCAGCTCCGTGCTCTTCCACAGGAGAATCGGGTCTAACGACTGGGAAAGAGCCTGAATTTCCCTCAGGCCAAAATTAGGATCGTCCATCTGGCCTGCATTGTGCTTACTGAGGAAGGCAGATAAATGATCTGCAGTGCTCCAGTGCTTGTGGGAGAAACCACCACGGGCATCTTATGGGCTGCACAACATCAGCCAAGGTGTTCTGTTCAGGCTGCTTTTTCACTTGTGTCATTAATCATTTCATTAATGTTATCTTTAAACATCTTTTTTTTTTTAATGTAGGATACCGTGTTTTTTCCCCAGAAAAGTCTTTACACACACACAAATAAATAAAATGGAAGGTCAGAATAGTTGGTGACACATCGTGAGGGAATGCAGTCTGTTTTCATTACTGATTTTGTCACTGTACTCTTTGTTGTTTTTTGAAACATCTTTATTAGAAGAAAAAAAGAGAGTATTTTGGAAGTGTTCGCTTTTTTTTTTCTCCAAAATATACATTATGTAATTAGCTAGTGAGTGCATCTGTAGCATATGGTGCCAGGCAGCAAAGCTGAAGCATCAAAATAGCTGTGTCTTCCTGACGGCTGCCAGAGTGACCGAAGAATTACACACAGCTCTGCTGTGACTGTCCAGAGAATATGCAGCAAGAAGAATGTACTTCCCACAACACCATCACTTTCCCTACCTTTTTATTAGAAACTTCCCCCAGACTTGCTCTTACTGTCATGAATTTCGTTGAGCACAATCATGACAAAGTAACTGTCAATTCACTGCAGTCTTCAGAAGAGCTGATCTAATAAATGTAAAAATGAGTATTCATAGAGACTGTAAGGAGCAACCTGTTCCTGACACACTTACTGAATGGGATTTCTTCTGAATGTACTGGTTGATTATGTAAATGACTGGATAAATCCTGTAGAAAGAAACTATTTGACCTTACTCTTTGGCTTTTTTAATTATTCTGGAAGGTGATTTTGTGACATCTAGTAGCCAGTTTGCATTAATTGCTGCTGTAGAGATTTTGAAATAAAAATATTTGTTCTTTGACTTTCATTTTGTAACAAGACGGCTACACTCTGTTCAAACCGCTTTGAAGCTTGCTGCACTGCAACTTTAAAACACTGCTAGCATCAACTGTATACGCTTTTTCTGAGTTAGTGAGTGCAGTGAGAGAGAATTCATGAACTTGTCAATAGGAACGTTTCCATTTCCTTGTTTGGACTCAGTTTTATATGTGTAAGTTGAAAAATGCTCAATAAGTCTAACAAAATTTTGCTTTAAACAAACAGCACGGTCACTGGATTATAATCACCTGTGTTTTTCTGGTGTCACTGCAACAGATTCATGTTTTTATTTCATTTCTGTGACAATTCCATGTGACTCTGAATGTCCAGTAATTCATTTACTTAGTGTTACGACAGCTACATTAGCCAATACAGCACTACCATCAAAGAAGGACCAAGTTTTGAAATGCTCTGTATGTTAGATAATGCAAGGCTATCCAGGACAATTTGATGGTCATATTTTTCATTCGCATCACTTTGTTTCTAATTTTTTTTCAAATTTATTTATTTTTAATACTGTATTTTCCCTTGCATTTGTTGTAAATAAACTACCAACAGTTATTCTTTACAAGTGCAGCTATTTTCTTTCACTGGTCTCCAACAGCCATTAACACTTCTGCCTCCAGCTCTGCAAATCCCTTGTTCCAAAATAAGCTGCCCAAAGAATGGGTATTGTAAGTGAAATTCAAGTCACTTGGGACATTCACTGAGGAGGCAATTCAGGTTTTGTTGCTCCTAAAGCTCTTTCAAGATTTTATCATGGCAGGTGTCGCATCAATCTGATGTTACCCATTCATTTGTAAATGACCATTCAGTTGACGAAAGAAGTTCTTCAGTAGGAAAACACTTCTAACTCTTCATGCAGGGTTTGGCAGCACAGTGTTTCGGCAAATTCTGGAAAAGAACACACGAAACCTCTTAGAAGGTAAGAGTCTTGCATCCCTTATAGCTAAGTCATTTTGTAGTAGTCAACAAAAATGTCACATTTTTGTGATCACAAAATACACAATCACAAAATACAGTGATTCTTTAAGCTTTTAAGCACAGGATTACTCCACAGAATTAAGCACTGAAAGAATGGCTGCTTGTTCACTATAGTAATGCTTCATGACTGTGTAGGGCAGGATATGAGGAATAAACATAGGCCTAGAAACTATTGAAGATAGAGACAACAGCGTTTGTTCTAAGAACTATTAAATGTCTCTGTAAGATAAATCACAGACAGCTAAAATTAAACATGAATGGGTAACATTAAAAGATACCAGGATGCAGGGCGTCTTAACGCTTTGCTGGAGCACTGGTTAGTGACATTACGGCTTTGCTAAAAGAGTGCTTGCAGCAGAGCTTAACCTGTGGGTGACCAGCAGCACTAACAGGAGTGAACTAACGCAGCCAAGATGAGACGTCCTGCTGCCAAGGAAGAAAGGAAACATGCCTGGCGTTGGAGACACGCTCACACACTCGCCAGGTACAGGGTGACCCGCTGCCTCCGTGATAGGGTGTAGGGCACACATCCCGCTCGGGATACATGGCATGGATCTGATAACCCCAGAGGAGCAGTGTTCAGGGACGCGCAGTGGGGCTGCGCCTGGCACCCTGCAAGGCTTCGGCTCTGCTTCCACCCTGCCAGGCTTCGGCTCTGCTTCCACCCTGCCAAAGCCTGGTGATTCCTCACCAAGAGCCCCGATTCGTGCAGGATTCCCAGACACAAAGTGCCCACAAGGCCCCTGAATGATGGTGCTGGTAGCACCTCCCCTGGCAGCTGCAAACAGGAACAGCGATTAAAAATTAAAATCAGTAGGGCTGGGTTGACTTTCGGGGGAACAAATTTTGCAACCTCACTCTTCATAAAAACCCTTTATGAGATATATTTCATAGGGCAGATGTATGTTAAAATATTCTTAAAGACAGCACAATTTTATTGTGTAAGTGCAAAACGACAGAAGTCTTTTATCTGATGTGCTTGGGCTAATATGCATATAAATGATACCATGATCAGATGCTCACCACCGTATGAATAGCAGTGAAAATGATCTGATTAATAACATGCACAAAACACAGAAAAGACAACTGAATAAATGAAACTAAATGCAGTTAATTGCACTGCTTTGTAATGGTGTTTTAAATAACTGCTGACTCTTGCATAATTTTGTAACAATATATCCAAGAGGCACGGTAGTTTATGCACATTGAAAATACTAACCAGCAAAGCCTTACTACAACTTCATTGGGAGTACGTAGACAAGAACTGTAACCCCAGTTTTACGGGTTACATAAATTTAGTAAAACTGAAGGCTGTTGCAAAGAGATTCACTTTCTGTGCCACAAGAGACTCCCTACCCAGTTTCCACGTTTACATGGACTGTTCCCAGGGGTTAATAACAGCGCATGCTTGCACGTTTATCCGCACGCCTCGTGTCACGGGCGGTAACGCGCGGTCGCCTCAGGGAGCAGTGGCGCCTTCCCGCCCTCCCGCCGCCCGCGCACGCGCACCCTCCCCAGCGCGTGCGCGGGGTGCCGGGCGCGTGCGCGTGCCGCATGCGCGCACGCGCGGTGCCGCTAGGCGGCGAGTCTCGCGAGCGGCGCCCGCGCGCTAAGATGGCGGCGCTGTGCGAGGCGTTCACGCTGTGCGGGCTGGGGCCCAGCGGCGCCGTGGGGCTGGGCGCGGGCGTCCTGGCGCTCGAGCCGGGCCCCGACTCCGACCACGTCCTGCTCACCGACCGCGGCAGGACGGCCACGCTCTTCAAGGTAACCGCGCTGCCCCTCGGGGCGGCCGCGGCCTGCGCGGCTGTCAGCGCGGGAGCCGCGAGCCGCCGCCTCCCGGCGCGGGGCCTGCGGGGCCTGCAGCCCGCGCCTGGAGTTGCCGGTGGCTTTTTAAACCTCCCCGTTCACTGCAGTGGCCCCAGGACAAAATTTGAGACAAGCGTTTTTATATCTTTGGTTTTCATGTCAGTTGCATCTTAATCGCAGCATCACAGAGTGTCCTTCGGGATCCTTAGTGCTGTTCCCAAGAGCATACGTGAGAACATCAGGGTGTTGGTGGGATTTGTCTGCCGTACTTCTAGAGTAGGGAAAAGGGGTTAAATGTCCTCTAAGCAACAACATGAATCACAAACAAGGCTGATTTAGCCAGCAAAACTCATTGATCTTCCTCTCAGTAAGTAGTATTAACTCCTTGTAGTAATGCAGGGAGGAGAGATGCATTTCTGTGCATATTTTCACTAGTGAATAAAAGTAATATGTTTGTTATGAGAATGTTTAGCGTGATCACTGGGCTTGGTAGCATAAGCCTGTCCAATTACTATCAAAAAAAAAAAAAAAAGAATACTAATAGAACTCAAAACTTGTGTTCCAATATGGAACTTTCCATATTTTAATGTTCTTACTTTGGCAGATGTTGTTAGCCTGTGCTTTCTTTATAATGTTGCTGTCGTATGAGAAATCTGCAGGTGAACCATGTTATGTCTTAACTCTGTGTTTTCTGACCCTTGTAGGTTTCAGACCAGAAGCCGCTAGGTTGTTGGTCAGTTAAACATGGACAGATGATAACGTGTCCAGTTGTGTGCAACTTTGAAACTCATGAATATATTGCTGTTCATGACGACAAGGTGAGATTCTTTATTTGTTGTTCAAAAACAATGTGTGACTCCAGGTTTTCTGAGTGAATGAAGATAGAGAAGTTGGTGGTGGTTTTTGTTTGGTATTTTTACTGTTGTTGCTTCTTTAGCTTCTTCTCATGAAAACTTCCTTTACGTATGTTTTCACTGAAATTACTGTGAATGCCTCCATATTTTTTTCCCGTGTTGTGTCAGTAGCATGTAATCGCTGGTATTTTGTGTAATGCAAAATATATGTACTTATTCACTTACCAAACAGTTCTTCTCTTTAAGGTTTTAAGAATATGGAAGGATGAAGATGTTAACTTAGACAAAGTATTTAAAGCAACAGTGAGTATCTTATTTTTATGCAAACATTTTGAATCTTGGGAGAAGGAAAGGATTAATCTTCGTAGTACTGCGAGCATTAAGCTTTGGTAGAATGTTTTGTTAACTTGGCCTTCTTCATGCTCTGGAGTACTGCAGAGAATCCACTTGAAGTGAGTGACTATCATCAAAGTATAACACTTGGTTAGTATTCTGTTAGTATTTGGCTAGTTTGGTTGGTATTGTTTCTAAGGATTTTCTTTGAAGAATCCTCAGTTATGTTTTGTCTGATGTAATTCAGAAATATGGTGTTCATTAGGGGCTTTTCCTACTCTTTCATCAGGTAGTGACTTGCAGTAGTCTATGATGGTTCAGAAATAAATACCTGCTAAAAACTGCAAGTTCACTCTTCCATATATTTATTTACTAAGAGAATTGATAAAGAAAATGTACAGAACACTTAGCTTTCAAGGTAATCTACTGAAGAACATAGTTTGAAGATGTTGTTGTTTTCTTTCTTTTTTTCCTCTCTCTACAGCTTTCAGCAGATGTATACAGGATACATTCTCTACCCCATGGGGAGCCATTGGTACTATTCAAAGGAGGTGGTGTTCGAACCTTAGATGTCCTTTTGGAAGCTCCACAACAAGAAATTGAAAACTTTATCTCAGATGAAGTGATTAAGTAAGTAATACTACCTTATGAAGCTTGATTTTTTTGATCAAAGGAATTGGTGATAATGCAGACTGACCCTTTTTGAGGGACGAGGAATCCAGAGACCAAAGTGGGTTGAGTTATTTTAAATATATCAGTTTTAATATCTTACTATTTACAGAGAGGAAAATAAGAGACTACCTAAGTAATAATGGGCTGAATTTGCATATAGACATAGAATTCAAAAGATGATAATGCTGCTTTCTCTCTTAGGTGGAGTGAAGCTTTTCTGGAAGGTCAAGAACCCATCTTAATTTTTGCTACTGAGAAAGTAAGTTTAAAAACAAAAGGAATCAAACAACAACAAAAAAAAAACAGCTTTATTATCAGCACATACAAGTGCTTTCCTGAAAAAAAAATCATTTGTTTCATTTATGTTATGACTTTTTGCTGAAGTCATTATCCTGTATTTGTTTCTGATACAACTGTTAAATTGAAGTTGTGAAGTTTTGGGGTGGATGATCCTGGCTCATTCAATGGCCTGAATCTCATTCATTGCTTCTTCCTGGTGAAACTATTTGTTGCATGAGCTAAGAATTTTCTTTACTTACGTGAATCTGCAGATTTTCTGGAACTATGCTGTACAGCCTGAAGAAAACATGTACTTTCATAATTTTGCCTAACATTCAAAATGTGGCATAACTAATATCTTAATATTGGTTTCCCTGTAAGATAATACTTCTTCTCCTTGTAAATGAAAGACAAACTTATGGGTTGTTGGTTTGTTTGTTCTAGGATGGGGATTATTTTATCTACCTACAAAAATTTAAGCTGAATATTCTACAGAAATATAAGCTTGAACAACAGGAATCATCTAATCCACTGAGTTTTACAGCATATATAAAAAATCAGATCATCACACTTCTATGTTTGTGTAAGTAATACTTTGTAGTGAGATGTACATAAAGCATGAAATTGTAGGAAAAGACACAGAAGGTGTGTTAATGTTTGCATTACTGCTTTTAACTTTTGTAAAACAGCTAGTGGGAGAAGTAATTGCATCTTTCTAGTGCTTTTTTTTTAATGGTTGCAAAAGCTTACTGTTCTTAAAAATGTTCTCTCTGTTCTTCGACAGATTCCAATGACTCAATCTATAAGGTTCTGATACCTCTGCAGCAGCACAGTGAAGAGGAAGAGCAAATATTGTCCAAGTCACTGCTGCTCAAACTTTCAGTATCTGGAAGTGTTTTAAAGGGAACTTCCTTTGTTGTTCTTGATAAAGACCATGTTGCAGTATTAGGAAGCCTAGCAGCATTTGGTGAAGAATCTAAAGGTAACTGGAAAATAACTAGATTGATATGTCTTTAACTTCCAAAATACTATTCTTAGAGAAAATGATAGATTCTGAAGAACTGTTGGGCCACTGAAATTAAACCACTGAATGTAGTTAACCATTTTAAAACAAAATGCTTTTTTAAGACAGGTTAGGTAACAGACTTAGCAAAGCTGTTCAGAGGGATAGCTGAACTTGGCCAACCTTAAAAAGCTGTTAAAGGTTTGTAGATAAGTTAGCAGGAATCGCAGAATGGCTGTATGGGCCGCTATCTCTGTTTTCCCAGCAAAGTTTTGAACAAGAATCACAAAACCTAACTACTCTTCAAATACTTTTGTTGAGAACCATACCTAGAATGTTGAATACATTACTAAACTGAGCCTTTTTTCTTTTTTCTTTGAAATGTATGGAAACTATTTCTTCAAGTCTTTAATTGAAAATAGCAAAGAAAAAAAATGTATTACTTTTTTGTAATATCAATCTCTTGTTTTCTGTAGAGTGCCTAACAATATGGAATACTAAATTTCAAACATTACAGACTTCAAAAGAACTGCCCCTGGGAACCAGTGGACAAGTGAGCTCTCTCTTTAATTTGTGGTTCGTAAGCTTCCACCTGATGCGTTTGGCCTGACAGAAGTGAAAAGAGACAGATGACCTCTTTTCTTGTGTGTGTATATGTGAACAGTAAATGTCAAGTTTTGAAACCAAATTAATAATAATGGCCTTTAAACTTTTTTTTTTATGTGGATGATGACTGTAAGCATAGCGACCTATGGTAACTTTTGTGATAACTCTGGCATCTTCTCAGTTCTGGTGGTCTTGATTATTTGGTGATAATTAAATAGGTAGTGACTGGGTTTTTCATATAATTAGCTATTATGCTCCAGCCATTTGCAAATGACTGCCTAAATGATTCCAGCAACTCCCTAAATTTTGCTTCTAGATCTTCAGGTGTCAATTGATGAGTAAACTGATGCCCAAGTGATTAAATACATGAGTGAAGTAGAACATCTAGCCTACAAAGGAGTAGGAGGGGGAGGAACCTCATGTTGGCTGTTTGTGTGTTCATCATAATGGTGCCAGATTTGCTCGTAATCTGAATTTGTGAGTTATCTAGTGGAATTTATACCCCCAGAGCAGCTACTGTAGTTCAAGACATCACTGGAAAATATTCCACAGTAGGCTCTCTGTTGTATTTAAAAACAATGCTTGATGGAGGTGTGCTAGCAATTTTTAAACTCGCCCAACAATAATCATTTGATTAATGAGAAGATTTAATTTTGTAGTAAGGAATTAAATGTCACCTTGTGCAGAAAATTCCTTCTCTGCTCCACTCTTCCTTAACAATTTGTTTAATATTTTGTAGTTGTGGTGTTATGGGGAAAAATTTTTTTTTACTCATGGAAAAGTGCTAACGGTGAATTTATACAAGTGTGAAACTTCATCCTTGGCAGCTGCTGTGGGAAAGCTCAAAGACAGTCAAACCTCTGGTAAGATCTTTTTGTAATTACACTGCAAGGATCTCAGCCTTTAAAAAAGTGTATTAAAGATGTTATGTTAATAGAGATCTATTAAATCAGTGAGATATAAGCAGCTTGAAGTAACTTAACAGTGAAGAGCTTCTAACTGGCCAGAGTTGTAAATTTGTAAACTTAAGTTTAAATTGTACTTCAGCAGTTTGTGTACTTCAGCCTTGCACCAAAAAATGCTGCCAGTAGTATTCAAAATCAATATCTAGCAACAGATTTATTCCCCCCGCCCTTAAGAGATTTTATGAGAAAACAGTATATAAAGATGATTATAAAGCTATTTGCTGCCGAGATAAAACAAATGGATTTTTTGAGGGCGGAAAAAAAGAAGGCATGGATTATATTTCAGAAAATACATGTTGCTATCAGAAGTTGATGTAATATCTCTATTTTAGTAAATGCGTGTTAAGTGTTTATGCAGTTTCATTTTTGTGTTCACAGATGCGTCGTTTTTAAACTGGAATACCCTTAATGATGAAGAGCTGGTGGTTTCCCTTCAGTCACAGCAATCTGTAACTCTAAAATCTGAATCTAAAATGACTGTAAGTTAAAATTAGGAGTGAAGTTTTTGGTTTATTTGTCTCTTCTCCCCTGCTGCTCTTTGTTTTTACATATTGTAGCAAAAGGGAACCCAGCTTTTTATTTGCCTGCTTCTAACATTGCTTCTAGGATTGGACAATTCAGCTACTGAATGTAATTGATGCAGAAAGTTGATGTGTGATCTTGCCAGTTATCTTGCCTGAAATCTTGAATATAAACCATTTTTTTCTGGACCCAAATAATAACTACTTTTGTTTCTTTATTGTAGCTAAGATCAAGGAGGAGTAGTGTTGCTAAGGCCCCATCAGACACATTAACAGTTGGGCAGCTGCTGTTAGATATAAAAGTAAGTACACCAAGCTGAACTGCTTTTTTAAAAAAAAAAATTATTTATGGATAAAATCAAGATATAAATTTATGGATAAGATCAAGATGAAGTTAAACCTTAGTTTCTTCTAAGATTTTTTTTATTGCCTTTTTCTTTTGTTTGGTTTTTGCTTTAGGAAATGTACCCTACTCTAGATGAACTCTACTTGCTTTCTAAGCACATTAGAGAATTTAGTCTGGCGCTTATTATCAAACTCAGTTCAGTGTAAATTAGGTCCCAGGATGCTGGGACTGATATTCAGCTTTAAATAAGCTTCGAATAAGTTGACAGAGTTGGTAGCAGCATAATCTAGTGTGTAGTTCCCTTTCAAAACTTGCTGTAAGTGCTGTGATACTTTAAGCTGTATCCAGACTTACATGAAATATCCCTGCATTCCACTTCAGGTGGACATCTTGATAATGTGACTGAAGTAATAGGGTAATCACTAACAACTGAACTATACTACTTATTTCCAAGTTCAAAGGGCCTAATTACCATTACTGCTGGCTCTTTCATGATTGTGATAGGATACCTAGGCATATATTAGTGAGTCGTTTTATTTCTGTGTCTTGAATACTGAAATAATTCTCTTTCTACTTCTCTACTTCAGTCTAAGTAGAAGTTTTGCGAGTTGTACTGCTACTACGTATTGCCCTTGATTTCCATGATATCTGTTGTTTTCAGGATTCTTCTTCAGCTGCAGTTGAAGAGGAATTGAAACAATTGCTGTCAAAAGCACAGATGCCAGATGTCCAAGCTACCATTGGATGTGTAATACCTGCTCTTATAAACAGATGTAAAACAGATCCAATGTTCTACCCTCAAAACTTCCTGATACAGTTGGTACAAAAAGGAGAGCTCTCTTACAGGTGATGCTTCTGCACTTTCTTAATTGTAAGGCATAGTCTTAAGCAAAAGAAAAACACAACAAAGAGAAAGAAACATAAGCAGTTTGAATTATCAGAAAATGCTTATACTTAATTCCTCCTGAAGTACTTCTGAGGTGGGATTGAAGGTTTTTGTGTGTGTAAAATAATAATAATACGTCTATATTATTTGCTAGTTTGAGTTGTACGGGGAGTGTAGGTAAGTTTTTCTTATCTCACTCATACAGCTTATGCCCAGACTTAATGGCTGTTGCTTTGGAGAAAAAAGATATGCATCTCTTACAAATCTGCCTACAACGGTTCCCAGATATTCCTGAAGAAATTACTTATGCTTGCTTGAAATTATTTTTAAGGTAAGTGGTTTCTGAGTGGGATGGGTTTTTTCACTTGATTGGTTGGGTGGATTTTTTTTTTTTTCTACCTTTAACAAACTACGTCCTTTTACTAAAACTTGTTGTGCCAAGAACGGTTTTAATTTGTGTATGAAATGTATTATGCATAGAAGTCTTAAGTACAGTGAATGCTGTAGTCCTGTATACTGCACGTAATAGCTATTTTGTAAAAAGCATTTTAGCAATTCTAAAAAACTTCTGGTGTAATTAAATGACTCTGCCTTTTGATAACACCATTGGCTTAAGTAGCATTTGCCTCTTTTCAGATGTGTTGTTAATTAGGAATTTACCTAGTGTGAGAAGCCCATAAGAAAGATGAAGTTGATTGTGATTTCTGTCCAAATGAATGAAGCTTTAGGTAAACACGGGAGCCTGTAGCACTGTACATCCTGCGGGCTTCAGGAGCGCAGAAGACTTCCTAAATACCAAATCTTGTTCATATCAGTAGTAACTTAAAATGTGAAATATTTAACTATGGTTCTCATGAAGTTTAGAATTTGTCTTAAGGACTTAATAGTCCTACTAATGTCAGAATACAGTAGCAGTGTTGCGTGGTCCGTAACCTTGAAATAAACCTATGAATGTCTAATAATACAGTAACTGGTAGAGTTGAAATACATGAAAAGAGGCACATATTGCTTGAGGTTAGTAATTACAAACTATTAACTATCCTCTCGTGGTTTTGATTCTCTCTGCAAGATAATACTTTTTAGTACATATTTTCACTCTTATGGTATGTGCAAAGGAGTTAATACTGTCTACTGCTGTCTTTAAGCCTAATAATAAAACTATTAAATGTCTGTGAATTTTCTTCTACAGCATTAGTGATGACTATCTTGAAAGGACAGATGTGAATATGGACTCTGTAATCTGTTATATTGATATTGAATCCAACAATAAAGAAGTTAAGACTGAAATAGTAGAGAATGGTTTCAATACTGAACTGGAAGAGGACAGCTGTGACACTACATTCACAAAGGAAACCCTTTTGAAGAATGATGTTGAATTCTGCCCTGTTGGACCACAAAGGGCTGCATTATTGTATCCTCTGTATTAGTTCATTATTTACAAAGTGAATGTTTACTTCTAGCATTATTAAATGACATTTATTTCTTTGTTATTGTTTAAATATGTATTTGAGTATAATTGTTAGCCAGAAATTCTGCAATTTTAAGAGAAGTTTCCACTCAGTAAAAGTCACTTAGAATATAAATGATTAACTTCTAGAAGGTGTTTGCACCAGTTAAAGCTTATACATTTTTACAAAAGTATAGCTAAACTTTTTCCCAAGAAAAAAAATGCATCAATAATTGTTGAAGAAGTAGACATTAGCAATTACCTGCTTGAGTTAGAATTGTATTCAAGATGTCTGTTACTGCAGTGTTTCAATGGCTGCATATATTTCCTGATAGAATTAGAAGACAGAGCTAAAATGGGATCTCCCTCTTCAGTTATATTTGAATTCTGTTTGTATAAACTTGGATTTCCCTTTCAAATGTTTCCTCAATAATACTGCACAGAAATGCTGTCCTGCATTCAGCTTACAGCGAAACATTTCTTCTGCCTCATCTGAAAGACCTTCCAGCTCAGCAAGCTGTGGTAAGCATTTTAAAATTGAAAATTCTAAATCATTTTTGAGAGAGGGCATGGAAGACACTTTATTAAAGTGTCAGAAACTTAGTATTGTTACGAGGGTTACATAAATCCATTTTCATGTGTTACTTTAAGATTCCCATTAAGGTTCAATGCTATTGAATGCTGTTTTTCTAGGTACATATGGAACTTTGCTGGTTTTTTTAACTGATCTTTGCTTATAGAAGATGTAAAGAAGAAACTGTTGATGACCTAGTCCAATTAACTATTGTTCATATTTAGTAATAGTTTTAACATCCTTTGCTTTGTGTATTTTTTAAGAAAGTGATGAGACATGGGAATCTGATCAGTTGCATCAAAAGTTGAGGGGAAGGGGGGAAAAGTAAATTGTACACTAAAATACCAAATGTAAAATAAATCCAGCTTAAAGTTTCAATTTTGGATCCCCAAGAAAATTTTCAAGAGCTGCACGTACTGATGTGCTGTCAATATACCTGAGTTTATGTACAGTGTATATTGTTTTAAAAACTGTTCTATCAGAACAACGCTAGTCTTAACACGCACCCATCTCCTTAATCCTTCTTTTGGAGGGAGAAGGAAGTTCTTACGGCTTATGCTGAGGACGAGACAATGTGGACTGGTTGTGATTACCATCAATTTCTTTTTGGCTACTACTGCTGAAATTCAAACTAAAGCTGTTACTGCTGATAAAATTTTTAGCACAGTCCTTAAGAAATAAGGACTGAATATCTGACAGTGTTAAAATTCCAAGCTGAGATGGAGAGCCATACTATATATTTTCAATGTATAGTGTGCAGGAATCTTTTTTAAACAAGCTTGAGCATTGAGTATCATTGTGTGTGGGAGAAAACTCAAAGGTCTTATATGTATATTCTTATATATATGTAACATGTCATCTGTCTTTACCTCCCATTTTCTCCTCTTTTTTTTTTTTTTTTTCTTCTTTAAGCTTTTTCTTAGGTATTTACATTACCTGTATGTGAAAAGCAGTGAAAAAATTAATACCACTCTTCCTGGTGTGCTTTCTCCAACTATAAATCAGGTAAAGTGCAAGTTCTACAATTTAAACATCCTTCACTTTTTGTAATTTGTAACTGAGTGAAAACATAAAATCAGAGATCTGTATTCATTCTATAAGGTATTGTCTAAAATGTCTGAAAATAAAAGATAATCTTAAAGTGGGGAACCATGCATTCTGCCTCAGAAGTTAATACTATGGAGTCCATTTTCAAATCAAAAGTTGAGTGTCATTTGCATACTGTAACCTAAATATGTACTCTTTTTGTCTTCAGATTATGGATTGGATGTGCCTGTTACTTGATGCTCACTTTACAGTGATGGTGATGCTACCAGAAGCAAAAGGACTTCTTTCCAACCTGCATAAGTTTGTGAGAGCCCAAGTAAGCTACACCTGGAATACTGAATTCATTCTGGAATGGATTTAGAATATGGGAGTTAAGGATGTGTGTTTGTAAAAATTCAGTACGTAGTAAATCAAACCGTGTGTGATCACCTCTATATGCTGGTTTGCGAACATCAAATGGCAGTTGCCTTTTGAGCACCAAAGTTGCTGTGTTTGCCTGGTTAGAATTTGTCTGGAATTATACAGGGCCACAGGGAGTTGCATTATTGTTATGTATGAAATGAACTGAGTTAAGCTGTATTTTATTATAAACATCCGCTTTTTCTTTTCAGGTACGATTCTACTCTGAACTCAATAAAATTGAAGGAAGTTTGCAAGAGTTACAAAGACTTAAACGCCAGAAAGACTCTCAGGCATATTCTATTGAAGTGCTGGAACTTGTTTGAATTTGAAATGAATTACTAACATTGTACTGATTCCTTTTATGACGAGGATGTATTGGCACTCCATATTGGGGATGTGAAAATTTGGATTTTCTACATAGGGAGAGCATGGTTACTCTGTAGCTACAGGGGAAGTTAAAAGTTTAATGAATTAAAAGCTCTTTTTCCACGGGATGAGATGCTGGACACCTTGCATTTTTTTTATGTATAATTTTGATATATAATCATAGGAATATCCCAAAATGCCACATGATCCTTAGTGAATGGATTATGTAAGGGTAGAATAATTGCAATAAGACTTAAACAGATGCTTCTTCAAATGAATTGGCCGTTTTATTCTGTTGAGCTGTATAAAGCTACTACATTAGTTTCTCTTGCACTTCTCTAATTCTGGACTTGCAATACAGTAGCAGTTGGATCTGTTAAGCCCAGCTGCAAGTTCATGTTTTGTAAATGTTCATCTCTTCAGTGGAAGGCAAATCTTTTCCAAAAGGCAGTGTAGACAGAAGAGATACTAAAATGTTAGATGTAGAGAGAAGCTCTTTTCATCAGTAAATGGAAAACAGCTTATCCTTTTATAAGTGAGAGCTTTTTTCATTTAATATTTATTAAAAGTCTGAATCAATAAGGTTTTACCAATTCCATTCAGATAAGGAAAGAGGAAAGACACATACAAAGAGGTTATTTAACTATGGCATATCTATGACATTGAGTTTAGATCATTAAATTACTGCAACTTGCTGCTTTTAAGTTACTGGTTAGTTGAGATACCTGACTATTACTAGATTCTTCAGAGTGCTCTTCACCTATAGTTCATAATCTGAGTGGAGAACACATTTCAGTTTGTTGCTTTGGTTTCCTATTTTTAAATTGTTTCACTTGGTCCAAAAAAGCCTTTGGCATCTGCAGTCTTAGCTTATACGGAGAAGTCTTGTTACCTCATTTGCACTGTTTTCTCTCTTCTGTAGACGTTATGGTACAAGAACTTGTTTACCATTTTGTGCCTTTTATTTTTCTAGTCCGACCTTGCTGTATTGTGTTGTTCTGAAGCAGAGGAGTTGGTGCAGGGGGTGTGTGGTAGCGAGCAGTTAAAAGCTCTGTACTGTGATAATCTAAAGTTGTTTTGATGAGTGTTGTATCTGATAAGACCACCTGCATCTAGAAGTTGCCTACAGCTATAGAGAAGGAAGAGGTATAGGGCAGGAACTAGATTCTTTCCTCAAATGAAGAAGCAAAGTGCAGTTATTTAATATGATAGCTTGTTACAATCTTTATTGCTATCTCAGACATTGCCGTCAGCTGAAAAAAGAAAGACTGTTTTCTTAAGCAAAAATAGGCCTTTTCAGGAGCATGTACCCCTGCACAGACTTGCAGAACAGAGTTGCTGGATTACAGTGTAATTAGCTGTATTTAAGGCTTTCACTTTAGAAACTTCTGAAGCTTTCTGATGTTGAAAGATTGCATACAAGAGTTTAGGTTTTTAAATACAAATTCTTACCCATGTTCAATTATTTGAAGTTTAGAAATAACCATTAGGTAAAACTTAATGCAATGGACTTTGGAGTCAGTTTGACATGTCTTTAAGCTGACCATGCTGCTGGAAAAAGCAATTACCATTTTTGCTTCTTGAGTGGTGCTGGCAGAATACCTGGCCTGTTCAGCTAGAACAGAGAATGACCTAGCTGGAAATAGCTGCTTTTATCTGTGATTTTTTTTCAATGGGCATGCTGACTTGTGTGCATGTAACAGGACACTGAGGAGACATCCAGTTTGATTTGCAGCAGAATGCTGGAAATCATTGTTTGAATAAATGTACTCTCAGCCTTTGTAAGGTTAAGCTTGCCTGAGAGTGAACAATAGTGTTTTCTTGGCATTTTCATCCCTTCTTTAGCAAGAGCTAGAACATAAAACTATTATGGTTGAGGTACTGGGTGCATAACTTGCTGGACTTTGTATAATTTTGAAATAATTGCACACAGTTAAGGGCCTTAGGACTGTTTGGAAATTAACACTTTCCTCTTGTATACAGTATTTATCAAAGGTCAGTACTGAAGATTATATATAAATCAAAAATCTTGCAATGATCAGCTGAAGAATACATAATTATGTAGAGCAGTACTTCTTAATACAGGCTGTAGTAGCTCAGATTTTCTGAGCAAGAGGGCTTACCTCCAAGCTAAAATAATATTCTTATCTACATGGATGTCTGTTTTCTCTAAGTACTCTTTAAAAGGGTGAATGCCTTAATTTCTGTAAAGTGATGTTAACCTTTTTCATACTGCTTGTTTTATATAGTTTGAGTTTCGTGCATATGGGGAACGTAAACATTCCAAAATCTTATGTTGGTTTTATATCTGGATTTTCCTTTTGACTAATCTCAAGAATAATTTTTATGAACAAAATGTTTGACAGTATTACAAATATCTACGGAATTATGCTTCTGATCAGGCATTGACTTGTCACTGACTTCTTACAAGCTAATTGTGGGATTGAATATTGATGTAAAACAACAGCTGCAGACAGGTGAAAACAGGACTCTAAGTTAATGCCATTTTTCTTGAGCTGCAGCATGAAGTGGATGGCAGGAAACAGGAGCTCTTGGTGAAGACAGTTTGCCAGTCTATGCTCAGAGTAGTAGATAAGATGTTCATAGCATTTATTTTTTATAATGTGATTGAATGTTAATATAATTCAGCATATGTTAATACAGTTTGTATTTCATAATATTAAATAAAACTACACTCATTCTTAAATCTCATCAGCAAAAAAAAGTCAGCCCTTGCTTTCTAAGACTGATTTTCAGTCTGTAGTTGAGCTCTATTCTAGCCACATTTAGCAACTTCTCAGTGTCTTACAAATTCTAGAACAGGATCTTTAAATTCAGTGCCTAATCGATGGTAGTGGAGACATAATTTGGAGGAAAGGACTGGGTAAAAGTGGCTCATTGATTTACGCAAGAGCATCTGCTTGCTGGGATATTCCTACCACATAACTAGCTTCTGAAGTTCTTTACTACAGGAGAAAGGAACCTATCCAGACAACAGCTTGGAACAACTAGGCTATTCATCTTCTCCAAAGTGCCTTTTGAAAGGAGTCTTTCTCTCCATCTGTCCAGAGTAGGGAGGCAGCCTAGGGCCACCTACCTAAAATTCCTCTTTGTGCTGTATTTCACTTATAAATGTGTTCATTTAAATATACCAGCAAATTTTATATGCAAAACTCAAGTTACCCAGTGTTCCTTCACACTTCACTGTTTTGGCTTTGGTTGATAGAAGAGAGGAGGCTGGTGGGGTGGTGTGGGTTTCCCTTCTCCCTTCCTCCTCCAGGTTACCCTGGGTCCTAGAATGGAGTCATTTTTCAGACCTGACTCCAAAAATATACATACCTCTCCATGCATCCACCCCAGGATCACACCGATGCTAGCCCCAATATGTGTCTGTGTGTTAATGTATAGCAAGTAGTTAACACACTCCTCTGCAAATTTAGGCGAGGTTAAAAAAGCTACTTGATGGAAGCAAGTTAAAAGTAACTTTTGAAAGATTCAGAATATAAATTAGGTATATTGGTGTAAATTAATTTAGGCACTGTTGTCTATTTGTCTCGCTGTGTCTGAATGTCAGAAACAGGGCTGAGAGCCCGTGCAGCTGTACAACTGACTATAAATGAGATGCCGATTAGAAAAAAAGCTGGATGTAAGAGTGCAAATTGGGTTAAACTGCTGCCTCGTGCCATTGTGACATTGTTGTATGCTTGACATGGCAGCAGGTTTGTGGGTTTAATGAGGTTCTTGGGCTGAGCAACAAGTCAAGGAACAAAAGGCACTTCAAAAATGTCTACAGAAGAATTTAAATTGAATTAAACAGCCAATGTGCAACAGGCAGGCTCATGGCAGGGCCAGTACTAGGTTGTGCATCCCACAGGAATATAAGCAGGGCAGTGAGAAGAAAGGAGAAACGCTGATGTGCTGAAGAGTCTCTGGGCTCCTAAACCTGCCTAAGCAGCAGCTTTGCCAAAGGCTGGTTGTGGGAAATGTGAGTGGTTTGTGTGTTTGGGGCTTTCCTTTTGGACTGGTTGTGCTTGGGAAAGCAATACCCTGAATCCATGGGGCAGAAATCCAATTCAGCAACTGGTGTTTGTGATGGCAGAGGTTCCCCCCCTCCCCCCCGTGGGGGCTTTTCCCTGGATAACCATGACGGAACACCCCACCGACCCAACCTCTCCGCCTTCCACTACCCCAGTCACCCGGGCGGCCGGGCCGTGCCCGGGTGGCTCTTGGCGATTCTGCCCGGGGAGCTTGCGGCGCTGCCTGTTGCTGCCTCTCGGGCGGCGGTTTAAAACCCGAAAGCGGCTGAGGAGGGAGCTCTGCCCGCGGGGTGACCTGCTGGCTCTGGAGACAAGGGAAGCGCCGAAGACCCCCCTCCCTGCCCCCAAGGCAGGGGCCGGCCCCTTCCCTACCTGCCGTCGCGGGAGGGAGCTGAGCTGAGCTCGGGGTGGGGAGCGGGTCCCCCGCGGGCGCGGGTCGAGCAGGACCCGTGAGGGGCGCGTTACTCGAGCTGGAAGAGTCGGGAGGGGGGGTCCCTGCGGTGAGGCCGCCTCTAGCGGCGGGAGGCTTAGGGCAGGGGCTGGGCGGTTTGGGGGGCACCCTGTGCGGATGATGAGGGGCGCTCGGCGCGGGGAAAGGGGCGCGAGGAAGCGGCGCGGAGCCGCCCCCGCTCGCCGCCTCCAACATGGCTGAGGCGCGGGCGGCGCCCCCTGGCGGCGGCGGGCGCGCGCCGCGGGTCACGTGAGGCGCTCGGGGCCTGCTGCCGCCGCCGCTTCCCCCAGTCAGAGCGGAGCGAGCTGAGGCAGAGACGAAGAAACAAGATGGCGGCCGGTGGCGATCCGGAGCGGGACGCCGGCAATTCGGATTGAGCGCTCGGCCCGCACGGCTCGGCGGCCCCCCTCCCCGGCCCGGATCTCTTGCAGGGGGGGGCAGCTTCCCTGTAGCCGCCTGTCCGGACTGCGAGCGCCCTCCCGAGCCTTCCTTCCCCCCTCCCTTCCCCCCTCGGCCAGCGCCCAGAGATGCGGGGCCGGCGAGGCAGGCCGCCCAAGCAGCAGCAGGCGGCGGCGGCGGCCGGCGCTCAGGCGAGCTCCCCGGCTCCGCCCGCCCCGGCGGGCCCCATTGGGGGGCTGCGCTCCCGGCAGCGGGGCAGCAGCCGCGGCAGGTGGGCGAGCTCGGCCCAGGCGGAGACGGCGGGGCCCAAGCAGAAGGGGGCCGGGGCTGCCCAGGCCTCTTCCTCGGCCTCCACCTCCCCCAGGGGGGGCAGCAAGAGGAAGGGAGGCAGCAGCGGCAGCAGCACCCCTGGTGGGGGAGGCAGCAGCGGTAAGGGCAGGGGCAGGGCCGGGGCTGGAGGAGCAGGGGGAGGAGGCGGAGGAGGCAGCTGCACCAGCCAAGGCAGGGCTGCCTCGTCCAGGAGGAGCATCAGCAAAGTGGTGTACGACGATCATGAGAGCGAAGAGGAGGAGGAGAGCATGGTGTCCGAGGAGGAAGAGGAGGGAGACCCCGAGGATAACCAGGACTCTGAGGAGGAAGAAGAGGAGGAGATCATGGAGGAGGAGGACGACGACGACTCAGACTACCCCGAAGAGATGGAGGACGAAGACGATGCCAGTTATTGCACTGAGAGCAGCTTCAGGAGCCACAGCACCTACAGCAGCACCCCAGGTAGAGAGGCAAGGGGATGAGCGGAAAAGGAGGCCAGGGCACCCCACACGCTCCCCCTAGGCTTGCAAATACAGACACGCACGGGAGGCAGGATGCAGGCGCATCGCAAGGGATGCCCGCAAGCGCTCGGAGGGGTGTGCGCGTTAACCACTGGCAGCCCCACGGATGCAGGGCGCGCTGGAGGTGCTGGCAGAGGCGCCTGCAGCCGGGCGAGGGAGGCGGGAGGGCACGGCGTGCTGCAGCGGGGGGGATGCTTGCTAAACATGCACAGGGGTTCTGCCCGCTGCGGAAATGCATGCCACATATTGCCACGAGCACCAAAAGTACATGGAGCGCTCGCGCAGGGTTTAAAAGCAGGGGGAAGGAGGTGCATGCGTTGCAAGGAAGTGGTTGCAAATATATGCAGGGGAGGATGGCTTGGGAATTTAATGGAATAAGGGAAGGAAGCACATGCAGCTGGAAGTGGATGAAAAAAAGGGGCATCAACAGTTGAAAATTTGCAGGCTCTGGAAATCAGAGATACCAGTGGAAGCAGCATTTTGTTGGCTTTAAGACAAAATTAGCTTTTCGAGGAGGGAAATGAGGTGCATTGTTCAAAATGGAGATTGCATTGTTATAGTTTAGGGAAAAGTGCACAGGGCCTCATTGCAAGGGTGTAAACCTAGTTTTAGTTAAGAAGGCCTTCCTAAACAAAGATTGAAGGGTGCAGGGTTGGGTCAAAAGTCTCGTTTTAAATACTATGTTTATTTTAACATGTGGCAAGCTCAAATTCATGTTGAGATTAAAAGCCGTTTAACATCATCATGATTATTTTTTAAAAAATCTCTAGTAGCAAACTTGAGTTTTTTAGGGGAGGATGGGGGAGCTGCCTTTTTTTTTTTTTTTTTTAATCATTTCATTAGCCATGTGGGTTTGAAACCTCAAAAACTCTCTATCTGAACTTAAGCAATGTAGTTTTATTTTAATTAATATCACAATGGAGTTCAGGCTGAGGATTTGTATTTTTATTTCTTTTCTCTGAACCAGGAGAGTGGTTAAACTTAGGGATAACCTGGGAGTGCGTTGCTGAATTGGGCTGCAGGATAACAAACACTGTTGCTGTACAAGTGTTTGGCCGGTTTGGAAGGGGGGAGGAACAGGTTGTGCAAATGCCTTGCATGTTCTTTTGTTTTTGTTTCAAGTGTGCAGTTTGGAGCAGCTAGCACATCACTTTTTAAAAAGGGGAAAATACTGGCTACTAAAGGTGGCATTTATTTTTATTTTAACTAGTTTAAAGGTGTCAGGCCATTATGTGACACTCTAGTAGTCCTTTAAAAAGTGCATGTTTGTATCTAAGCATATATACAAATATTTTAATTTATAGCTATAGCATCAGAAACCTATGGGAGTTAAATGTAAATACATATTTGAAATGAATTGTGGGATTTTTTTTAATTCTTTTTTTTTAATAACTGTAGTTTACTTGTCACAGGGATGAGCTACCAGGAAATTTAATTCCGTTGGATATTATTTTAAATATTGAGGTCCAGCTTCACAGAAGAAAAAAAATTGAAGTACTCTCTTAACTCTTTTAACTCCTTGTTTTCTATTTAGTTGCAATAACTTTCATTTTGACCACCTCTTTTGGTGCTTTTTGTCAGGGAAAATATATTTTTATCACTTTAAGTGGCTAGGTCAGGAAAATATTCTGACACTAAAATCCAGTATGGGGAAAAAAAAAAAAAAGGAATACTGCAAAATATGATTATTTATGATTTTTGATATTTTCGTGTTTTGATAATTTATATGCATGTTTCCTAGTTGATCAAGGAAGCTTCAGTTTTAGCTTTTTAAAATGTTTAATTGTAAGCATTTTAATCATAATATTCTATCAAGTACATGGTATATGGACACAGAATAACTAATTGATAGTTAAAGCACCTATGTTGTTTTGGCAATATACTGAAACCTCTGATTAGCTACTGTTGGTCTGAAGGCCTTCCTTTTCCTTTTCCTTTTCCTTTTCCTTTTCCTTTTCCTTTTCCTTTTCCTTTTCCTTTTCCTTTTCCTTTTCCTTTTCCTTTTCCTTTTCCTNTCCTTTTCCTTTTCCTTTTCCTTTTCCTTTTCCTTTTCCTTTTCCTTTTCCTTTTCCTTTTCCTTTTCCTTTTCCTTTTCCTTTTCCTTTTCCTTCCTCTTGCCCTTTTGCAGAGAAAAACAGCCAGACTTTTAATTTGTTCAGCTGAGTCTCTGTCTTGTTTCTGCTTAATGAATATCTATACTGTGAACTACATAGCGATGATACTAATTGAAATCTTGGCTTATCGTAATCTAAGAAAAGATACATGACATTGGAACAGGTTTAGTAGGCAAGATCCACCTGATCTCCATATCTTTTTATCTGACAGAGGAGAGAAAAGTGGTAAAATCTTTAGAATACCTTCCTAAGCTCTGGTGATCTCTGACTCAGGTTTATACTGAGCCAGACATTGTCTGTAGTTCTTGCTTTTTATTTTTATTCTCTCTCTCTTTCATAAATAGTTCTTAAAATCAGACACATTATAATGTACAGTGGCAGAGTTGCTGTGGTTACCTATACAGTTTGGAGGAGTATGATACCTGCTAGTTTTCTGCTGAAGGAGGTTATGAACAATTGTTCTCTATTTATCTTCTTTTGATCACACACATGCTGAATTATCACCACCTTGAGGTCATAGACTTCAGAGTTGAAGAGGTTTTTGTAGAGCTGGATATTTAAAAATTCTAATACTGATCAAATTCTTCTTGTCAATCATGGTTTTATGCTTATATCACATCACACTAAAGTGGGATAAACAGTTTTTCAGTTTTTCAAAGTTTTTATTCAAGAGTGAATTTAAAGAGCACAGTGCAGTGTCTCTAGACAAGGCTCAATTTTTGTGCTCCTCTGTGAAGTTTATGACATTCTGAATTTGGTTATCAGGATGCTTTTTCACTATGTTTTTATTCAAGTATTTAGAGAAGCAATGGCTTAGGAATGATAATATGCCTTTGATATAATGCATGATAATGGTATAGGTAAATTATATAGCGTGATGAACGAATATGATGTTTATCACTTCTACAGGGCGGACCTTTGGTATTTTGGATTGTGTATGTATTTTCTCTTCTCTGGTTTTCTTTTGTTTCCTCAGAAGATAGGTGTACATTTAGTATAGGCAATCCTGTTTATCTTGTGTCATTTTTGACATTAGCTGTCCACAGTAGTTCTTGCTTTAGCGTTATCACAATTGCATATTAAGTACTTCTCGTATGTTGTCGAACTTTGAAAACAGGGCTTAAACAAGACTTCATCAAGATACCTAGAAGTGCTTTTTTTTTGTTCCCCTCCCTCCCCACCCACCCCCCTTTTAATAAAAAGCTTGCTTGGAAAAGTAGCTTTTGGAAGATCTATTCATCTAGATTTTGGCTGAGATAATAAACATAGGCTGTTTAACAAGTAAATACACAACAGTGGAGTTGTGAGCCAAAAGATTATCTCATTAAATTTTTCTTTAATATAGTTCTGGATGATTGTTGCCAGTCCATGAGCATTTAATGGTGATTGACCAAGGTTTTTGCTTAGCCAGTTATTTTATCAGAGTGCTCCTACTTCTGGGGCAAAATAGTTGAGCTGGAAGTTGCATTTAGTATGTGAGAGAATTTTATATCTTAATTTTTTTTATTCTCAAGGAATTAAGACACTGAGATATTGATAGTAAGGTATGCAAATTCTCTTGTCTGTCGCATAAGAATATTCACCAGGCTCCCAAACATCTTATCTAGTGTACCTCGTTCTCTAAATCAAATTGATAATTATTTTACTACTTAGAAATCCGAACTTTGATTTGCAACTGAGAGGAAGTATCACTTGTTCAACTTCAGAAATGTAACAGGCAATTTCAAATTCGAACAAAAATGTTTTGTAGAAAGCCAAGTAAAATTTGTGTTTAATACTGTGGTGTTGACATGCAAATTTGCATGTCAGTCTGAAGAGAGAGTTTGTCGATTTTTCTGAGGAACTGTGTGCAGCACGTATCTTGTAATTGAAGTATACGTTGTAAAAATAGTAGAATAATTTGATGGACTGCGGATGAATTCATCCTGTCAAGTTTTCTGTAGGTCTGCAGTCAAATTGCGTAGCTGACTTGGATAATGCATGGAACTAGCATAAAGACAATAAATGTGGATTTTGATGACTTTTTGAAATTAATTAGAGCCTATCTCAAGTATGTCCTAAATAATAAATTGTCAGAAGATTCCTGAAAAGTAATTATATGCTAATACTTTTTTTTTTTGCCTTTACCTGGATTCTAGACATAAAGGAGTTGTGACTTAAAGTACTTCTCAGAATGACCAGATGGAGTGTCTTTTACTACTTGCATTAGTTATCCGAATGCTAAAATGATGCTATATAGTATGGCATCACCAGTTCAGTGACTTCATTTTATTTCACATATCATAATATTTGCTTAAATATGTGTAATATAAGTTATTTTAATAGATTATGGCAAATGCAGACTTTAATTACCAATATCTATAATTAAATGTACCGTAGGAATAAAATTGTTTACTACTTAATTACAGGCTGCTCCTGAGCTAGAGAATTCAAAATAGGGAGAGGCAACTATTGCAAACTCCTTCACCAGTTTTGGAGACAACCAGTGAAGGAATGTGATTTAGAAGTATATCTGTGCTTGATGTGCTTGTCTTCTCTTTCAGAAGTAGCACAAGTCCAAAAAGTAATAATAATAATAATAATAATAATAATAAAAAAAAAAAAAGGGCAGTAAATGGTGCTTACATCTCAGCCCCGTTGATACTTTTTAGTTAGTCTAGTTTATCTACAGTCATCTTTTGGTCTTTGATTTCTGTATGTAACTTATTCATCTTCTCCCAAGAGGCTCATTCTTTCTGGGCATAAGTGTGAGAATATTTTTTAGCTACATTTGCAGACATTAAATAGAATTCAAGTTTATCATTCCACCAGCTTTTTGTGACCTTTGAACTTAGTGGGGGCTATTAGTGATTTCAGAGTATCTGTGCTGTCTTGTGTGATTGTCTGCTAGGGCTGGTCCTACACTATGCATTTTGCAGAGGAAGCTTTGGAAACCTAAAGTAATTTCACATTTAAATGCATGTTGTTTTGTTCTGTTTTGTTGTCTTTATGCTCATAGGGTTTTCGACACTGATTGTAGAAATGTGTTTAGGTATTTCTTGCTGAAAAGAACTTGCTTTGAGTCAGTGAAACTACTGCATTTTTGTGTTTGCTGTGATTAAATATTTTCCACTGATTTGGGCAGTAATATATTGGAAGGCAGTCGCATAAGCATTCTTTCATTTTCCACAGAGTCAGAACTCAACTAAACTTGGAAATTTATTTTTATATGCAGCTGATGTTGACCCATTAGTTGTGTAATGGAAACATCTAGCAGTTCATCTTTTTATATGATTTCAGAGTTCCTAGTTGTTGCATAGAATTTCATTCACATTTTTTAAAGTTTGAGAGGGAGAGGTGTATCTGATTCTCTTGCTCTGCTAGCACAATTGTTGATTTCTTTCTTATCGAATAATTTGGCAAACTCATATACAATTAAGATGTTTCTTAAATGTAATTTTTCTTTTTGGTAAGGTTTAATTGAGACATTTTAGGTTTAATTATGGTATTTCAAAAGACTTGGGTTTGTGCATCTTTGGCTTTTCTCTGTGAATAAAGAAAGTACTTTCTGCAGACCACTCCTCTGTGTAACATTGATCAATAGAAGCTTTTGTTGTTGCCCAGAATTTTTGCAGGGAAATGCATCTTGCCTTAAGCACCTAACAAACTTCAGACTTATGTATCTTATTTTTTTACTCTATATTTAAATACCAGATTGTTAACTGGTATTTACACATTTATATAGCTTTACATTTATATAGCTTTAAAGATGGCCTTTAATTTGCAGTATATAGAAAGAGTTGGTCACAGAAGGGTCGTTACTGATAGATGTTTTTAATACGTTGCATTGTGAATTGCAAAATTCTTACTGTTATTTTGAATTCCAGGTAGGAGAAGACAAAGAGTGCATCGTCCTCGATCTCCAATTTTGGAAGAAAAAGATATCCCACCTTTGGAGTTTCCTAAATCCTCAGAGGACTTAATGGTGCCTAGTGAGCATATAATGAATGTTATTGCCATCTATGAGGTACTAAGGAACTTTGGCACTGTTTTACGCCTCTCTCCTTTTCGTTTTGAGGACTTCTGTGCTGCTCTGGTAAGTCAAGAGCAGTGCACACTTATGGCAGAGATGCATATAGTGCTTTTAAAAGCAGTTTTACGTGAAGAAGACACTTCAAATACTACCTTTGGACCTGCTGACCTCAAAGATAGCGTTAATTCCACTTTGTATTTCATAGATGGAATGACGTGGCCAGAGGTTCTGCGAGTATATTGTGAGAGTGACAAGGAATACCATCATGTTCTTCCTTATCAAGAGACAGAGGACTATCCTTATGGACCAGTAGAGAATAAAATCAAAGTTCTGCAGTTCTTAGTGGATCAGTTTCTTACAACAAACATTGCTCGTGAAGAGTTAATGTCAGAAGGTGTTATCCAGTATGATGATCACTGTAGGGTTTGTCACAAACTTGGGGATTTGCTTTGCTGTGAAACTTGTTCGGCCGTGTACCATTTAGAGTGTGTGAAACCGCCTCTCGAAGAGGTACCGGAGGATGAATGGCAATGTGAAGTCTGCGTGGCACATAAGGTGCCTGGAGTAACTGACTGTGTTGCTGAAATCCAAAAAAATAAACCATACATTCGGCATGAACCCATTGGATACGACAGACATAGAAGAAAATATTGGTTCCTGAACAGAAGAATTATTATGTAAGTAAACCGATTGTTTAGTGTTTTTGAAGAATAACATTCTATTGAATGCATATTTTAAAATGGGTTTCCTACAGAGTTTCCTACAATACCTATTGCCATCTTAAAGTTACTTTATTCTTTAGATAAGACTTTTGCATGCTTATTTGTAGGTTGTTTTCTAAAGGCCATGTAATTCATCCATCAATTTTCTTTAAAATAATCTGTATTTTTTTTACATGTGCACTAAAAAATCACGAATGTGACAAAAAGATCGTTTTAATGAGCATTTTCCAACCTCCTGATTAAGTTATTGAAAGATGGTCTAACTAACTGCCTGTGATGATATGATGGTAGAAGACCAGTTTTGGTGTATTGCCACTGCCTGGATAGTTACTTGGCTATTGGATGCTGGTACTGCTTTGATAGTTTTAAAAAGTCAAACTAAGACTGCCTATCAGAATCCTTTAAAGATATGCATCAAACCTACTAACTAAAAATTTAGAAAAGACCATGTGAAGCTTCTGCATGCGTGAATGAAGTGACAAGAAACACCTGCCTTGAAGCAATTTCCTGTTGGGCATGTATGACTGTTTCTGATACATGATTAGTCCTGGGATAGTGATGTAATGGATATAACTTTCTGTTAGCAAGGGTATTATGTCCTTAGATACTAGGTAGTGTCTTTGAGGGGGCTTATGAGGGTTGTAGATTTGACTCTCACAAGTGAGAGATACTTCTGAACTCTTTTTTCAGTCCTTTAAAATAGTGTTCTTTGGTCCTTTAAAAGTGTTCTTTCCATTTAAAACAACAACAACAACAAAATGGGTAGTATTAACTGATGCTTTAAATATTAATTATCAATCTCTCTTTTCCTCTCTTGGATATGATTGCCTGAAAATATTGGTAACCTTATACTTCTACTTACTGTAGTCTTATATAGAAGCTTTCAGCTTCTGTGTCCAGAAAAATCTGTTGAAAGTTTTATTTAGAGAGAGATGCTTGCTGGATATGTTGAGCTACAGTCCCCACCAGCAATGGATTATTATTTTATTCTTCCATTGCTGTGGTTGAGATCTAAGAAGCTTTCATCCTGAAATAAACATGACATTACCTTTCAGTTTATGTAAATCATAAATATTAAGAGCCTGATTTGCCAGTGGTCCATGAAACTTTGTAGTTCATCTCTTCTAGCAGCTTTGACCTTACTATTTAAGGAAGTATGAAAATGTTGGCAGCAGATCTTTTTTTTTTTTTTTTTTCAATACAGGTTCAGATAAAGAAACTGGAAATATTTCAGTAAAATAGTTTCTTTAAATAGTGTTGTTCCTCTTACACTGGAGGTTTTCTGTGCAAAGTCATAATTTTTTGCCAGAGTTTCTGTCCAGTGAAACGTGTTGTAGTCCTTCATTCTGATTATGTCAACCGCTCTAATGATCTCTAAAACAGGAGATTAGCATATGAGAAAAAAGAAAAATCATTCTCTCCCTTTTTTCTCTAATTGTTTTCTGTTTCAGTTAAACCTGAAGAGTGAAACAAATGCTATGCATTTATTATAGACTAAAGCTGATAGTTTGTCCATCTATGTTCTCTCCAATTTTAAGACATGTAGTTTTCTTGGAGAAAGAGTTTGGGTGAAGGAATTTGAGAAGGTTTTAAAGAATTCATATCCAGTATAAATTTTCCAATGAACATGAATTTTTGGTGACTTTTATATCCAAGTTTATGCAGAATTAGCATGACTTCTTAAAATGGAATTGAAATATTGCAATAGGTGTAGATATTAAATTAGATACAGAATATAAATGTGCACCGAGTGTAAACACTTTGTGTTGTGGATTTGCATAGCTGCAGAGGCAGACATCACAGATGGACTGCAGGTAGCTTCTTACATTTGGGTAGGTTTTCCAGTTTCTGGATAAACCATGCAATTAATGCAAATGCTTTCTGTGAAGTATTTGTAGTTTATTTGCATTATGCTGTATTTTGGGAAGAACTTATGTAACACCATAACTAATCAAACGAAGTGAACTCTACGTAGCTCTGTGTTTGTAGTGTTTCCATGAGTCAAATTGGGTCTTGAAGCAGTAAAATAACCAATTCTTAAACAGTATGGTTGTCCCAGGCTCTGCTTTTTGCATGTAGCAAACAGTGGAGTTTGTTACAATGAAGTTTATAAAGTTCTCTTTTCTTGATTAAACACTGCTTGCTGGTGTCCTCTCTCAGTATATTGAATCGTCTAATCCAAGAACAAACTTTGACTTTCCAGACCTTTATGATCTAGTTAAAAAAAAATGACTGTTGCAGGTAACTTTCACCATAAAGGTTGAATGAGGCTGATACAGACGTAGTGACAGTGATTTTCAACGGGCCAGAAAAAAAGAGGTCGTTCTTTGTAACCAGAGAAGAGTGAAGGAAAATAGTAGTAGAATTATAAGTGAAGAGCAAACAGTTCTGTTAGTCTTTGAGGGGTCTCTTCACCTTATTTGTCAATGACTTGAGTGAGGTGACAGTGTCTCCTCAGCAAGTTTGTGGATGGTACAAAACTGGAAGGAGTGGCTGACACACCGGAGGTTATGAAGGACACTTTTTTTGTTGTTGTTTTTTGTTTTTTGTACTCTGATTACTTCCATTTTAACAAATAATAGAAATTCTCCTATGGAAATGAATCATAAGAGTGGTTCTAGATTTGTACTTCTAGATTTATTTACAGTTTAAGTAACAATCCAATGTGTTTTGCTGGTAAAACTGGATAGACATAATGATTTTCTTCTTTCCTATTCCCATTTCAAAGGTTTGTAAGTGTAGAAAGGGACCCTGAACAAATTGCAAATATTGAGATGTATTTGATTTGGCAAATGCTTGTGAAATGAAATAAGGAAACATTATTTGGTCCTCATTTAAATAGCACCAATTGAAAAAAAAAATATTCTTTAGTTGTGTGCATCTTCTATAATCGTCAAAAACAGCATTTTTTCCTTCATGACCTGAAAAGATTTATCATACTGTTCTGTATCTCAGTGAATCCTCCTCTATTTCCTCCAGTTAAAAAGCTTTTGGAATGTTCCTTTGAATAGAGGCACAGTTGCAGGAACCGTTCCCTCAATTCTGCACTTCTTAATTGTACCAGCCTGGGGTCTCTGCACTTCAGAAATCCTTGAAAGTTCATAGCATTTTGTTCTGTGTTCTTGTTTTTATCGCTCTCAAAACTTGCCTCAGAAGTCTGCCAGTGAATGGCTTCTGGCATTAAAAAAAAGGCCAAAAGAGGTAGGAAATATCCCTGTGATTCTTTTGTCTCTGCTTGGCCTTATTTAATGTATGTGACTGAATAGAGTCCTCTGGAGGCTGAGGAGACATGTCCAGCACATAGCTGGCAACGGGTCTTGCATGTCAGAGGGAGAACTAATTGGGAATCGGTTCTTGTGCAGCTTCCTTCACCTTTCCATCTTCTCTGCAGTAGCAGCCAAGAGCCCAACTCCCTTAATTGTTTCAAAGGCAAAAAGTTATGCTCCTTTACCCAGTTCAGCAGCTAAGGAAAGATAACTTGAATTCTTTAATTGTTAATTTAAATCTACTCATTTGACCTGATCAAATTCTATTGAATGCTTTGAGTGTTGATGAGCCAGTTATGAGAGCATACCTTAATTTTGAAAATTGGCCCAAATGAGTTCTCTTCTAAGTGTACCAAGTATGAAGTTTTTGCAGTTTCACTTTCTGGCTGTGCTTATTTATGTCCAGAGGAAGCTTGAGTTTCTTAGCTCCTGTTACTAAAGTTGTGGTAGCCTTTAATTCAAGAGGAAATTCAGTGCTCAAAGAACCTCTGTAAAGCAAGCAGGAAGGAAATAAAATACTTGTGCAAAATTTCATTGACCATTCCTAGAATATAATCAGAGCAGTGCTTTAGTGGTTAGAAGTTGAACTGTGTTTGGGAAGATTAATGCTCAGTCCTCTCTGAAATACCGTCTAGTATCTTGCTTCTCACTGTGCATCAGAGTTTTATTGGAAGATTTCTTCTTTTCTTGAGTTATCGAGAGAAAGTGAAGCTAATTCTGCTTCAGTCTAATGCAACCCTGTAGCAGCAGAGTGTGAGGAAGAGCTGGGAGGCAGAAATAGATGATTCTTGGGATTTTCAGGTGGAACAAGAATGCATCTGAATACACTAGCATAGCTGTAGCATTTTAGGATTTGCTAGGCAAAGAGAGGACATGTGAAAAGAAAAAAGCTCCTGAATGATGACAGACAAAACCTAAACAAGATGCACAGACATCTTTGCCTGAGCAGCCGGACTAGAAAACGGCCATTAGCCCTGCCTTACTTCATGAAGTGAGGTGAGATAAAGTGTTGCAGTTATTGTACACCTAGATCATATAAGGAGATGCATAAAGGAGGTACCTAGTTATCAAGTAATCCTATGCAATGTATAAATGAATCAAGTTCAAAATAGAAAGATAAGGGTGCTATTTTAGTGAGTTAAGTAATTGAAGCATAAACTTATCAACACCCCTGTATTCAGCTATAAGTTTTGTAGAGCTGCTCTGACAATTTCCTCTTCCCACCCATCTTACTGAATGCTTGCCAGAGAAAAGCAAGCATGGCTTTCCCCTTTCTCTTCAGTTACTTTGTCTTCTTTCTGTTCTCACTTTTGTATTGTCTTTTATTTTACTTTTTGTTTTTGTTTTGGGTGTTTAGTTTTTGGGTGTTTGTCTTCTGGGTGTTTTGGTTTTTTCCTTCTCTAGGGCTTATTTTCTACAAACAATAGCAAAAATACTTCATGTTATTAATATTTTTCTTGATTTAGAGGAAATTTTGTTTAAATATGAAATTTATTTAAAATATTGATCATAGAATGCTCCATGGAGTCAAATGATTGTTGGTCTTAAATTTTTGATCCTTTGTATGCTGGCAGAATACAGATTTTCTGAGATAAGCTGTTTTCTCAGAAACTTCTCAGATGTATCTGACATTTTATAACTACCCAGAAATAACTAGTAATAAGTTATAAATAGAGTAGAAAAATAAAGGAGCAGGTTTGAAATTTGTTTTCACAGGAGAAATCCTCGTGAGAGAAAGGCAGCATTTCTTTGCATCATACCAGGTTCTTTGTCAAGGAAGTCTATTTTGTAAAATGGACTTTTTAAGAAATAAAAGTTCATTTGATAGTAAGATTTGGCAAAACAGTTGTGGTAGTTTAATTTTGAGTAATATGGCCATCAGCTTCCCTGAAGTCTTTCATTGCAAATTGTTTGAGACTTAGTAGTAGATTACTGGTTGCAAAATAGATATAATGAGAAGGAACCTTGTTGCCAGATTGGACAAACCAGTTTTAAGAGGCTGTTTAAAGCTTTCATGGAGCTTCCTGAGGAATTTGTCACGAAAACTTTTGAGAACATAAAAAAGGAGAGGGAACTGTGAAGAAGTATTTGGACACCAAATAGTTGCTTATGTTTGAATGTGCTCATGTGATTTGTTCATGTGTATTCATATTCATGTATTGTTTAATATTTCTCTGTAAAAAAGCAAATGTCAGAAAGGAATGTCAACCTATTAGATTAAAATGTTTTAAAAATACTCTCTTACAGAGAGGAAGATTCAGAAAGTGAGAAAGATAAGAAAATTTGGTACTATAGCACAAAGATACAGTTGGCAGAGTTGATTGAATGCCTAGACAAAGATTACTGGGAAGCTGACCTATGCAAAACTCTGGAAGAAATGCGTGAGGAAATCCATCGGCACATGGACGTGACAGAAGACCTCACTAATAAAGCACGGGGCAATAATAAGTCCTTCCTTTCTGCAGCAAATGGTAAGAAAACTCTGTGTAATGGAAAGAAGTGTTGCACTTTGAACCAAATGGAAGCTTCTGTTTAGTTTATTAGGCTCAAACTGACACTTCCAACTCTTATATTCAAAATGAGATTTAAATCCTTGCATTCAAAAAAGCACTTGAGTCCTTAAAACTTCTGAACTTGTGTTCAGAAGTGTTTTGCTGTTCATTTGTGACATTGTACTTTTTCTTGTAGATGAAATAATGGAGATTATCAGAATAAGAAAAGGAGAAGTTGGAGAAGTTAAAAGCATATCTGCCGATGAAGCAGAAAAAGCCAGAAGTGATGTTGAGGATGGCCAGGCAGATACTGAGAAAAGCAAGGAAGAATCTGCAGATCAGGATAAAACTGAAGAAACATCCACTGAGCAAGATGAAGAAAAAGTGAGAACAGAAGGTAAAGAAACTATAAGCACACTTCTACAACTCTTAAGTATCCAGTGAAGTGATTATTAAGTTAAGAACCTCACATTTCTAAAAGTTAGTGTAATAATTTTGTACGAATCTTTACTTTCAAATAACAAACTGTATTTGTCTCTTCTCTGTGGTAATATATTCTGTTTCTTTTGAATAATTTCAAAAATCTTTCTACTTTCCAAGCTAAATACATCTAATTTTTAGATAGCTTTACCTTTTGTCATGGCACTCACAGGCTGTGATCAACATGTCTGCAGTAAGCAGTAATCCATGAATAATCCATGAATTTTGACACTATTTTCTCATCAGAAGTACATAGCTATTATATTTGATTGAGATTCATAGCAAAAAAAAGAAAAAAAATCAGTATATTTCACAATATCCAGTGGACAAAATGAATTTGCTTTCTAAGGATGATGCCAAATGACATCCTAAGACATACTAAAGAATATCCTTAAAGTTTTGTTGTGCCTTTCACTATAGAGGCAACAGTCGTTGGGGATAAAAGTAACTGTGTGACATCAAGCACTGACGACAACAACACAAATCCTGCAGGAGACACTAGTTGCTCTGAAGGGAAGAATGCAGTGGGGTGTCAGTCAGAAACCCTTGATAGCAACAACGTGGCAGAGAAGAAGGTGGCATCAGAGCTCCCTCAGGAACTCTCAGGTACAGAAGGCACTGTTACCAATGCCTCTGTAATTTGGGGAATGGATTAAGTTTTCCTATCTGGATTGTCCACTAAAACCATTCACAGCCTTTGTCACTCATGCTGTTTGCTTGCAGTGCCATCTTTTACTGCTGCGTTGTCACTAACATTTCAAAGTTAATTTTTTTGCGATTAGTGCTTGAAATTTGGTCTTCTGGGACATCAGCTTTGTTTCCATATCTTCCAAAGATAACTATGGCTAAGCTTTTTATTTTCTGTTTTCTGTATATTTTATTTTTCTATAGTAATCCATAATGGTTGTAGTGTCCTACCAAAGTTTATTTTATATTCTAATTTGCTGAAGGCTTGTATATTATTTTAATCATTTACTGTATAAACTACTAACAAAATTTTCATTCACATGAGTAAACCATTTCATTGAGATGCCAAGATAAAAAATGTCATCCCAGCAAGTTGTAGAGATTTATCAGAATTATCCGAGCAGAGGCTGTTGCTGTATTTTAACTTGTTTAGTTCTGCCATGTCAGTGATTTGAAAGCAGTAATAAGTTACTATATTAAAAAAAAAAGTTTAGATTCAGAAGTGAATATGACTTGCCTTGATATATCATAAAATATCAGAAAGAATTTATAATTTTAGAATAATGTTACAAGTTTTACTAAGTAAGCAAATGTTACTCTAAACAGCAGATTACTGTTACAAGCATCCGAGTTTTATTCTCAGTTTTCAAAATCTAAAAATACCTTTATCAGTAATATAGCCATACTTGGTATGCTATGTTTGAAAAAGTTGTAATAAACTTTTTCTCTCCTCCAGAAGCAGTTCTCCATTTAGATAAAGGGTGAAGTTCTTAAGCTTGTAAATATGAATGCATCCAAACCTTATAATTAATTTTACATTAGTAAGGAATTAAGTCAAATTCTTAATTTGGAAGTCTTTAATATGATTTTTCAGTGCAGAAAATATGCTAGCACATGGGACAGAAAACACATTAGATGTTTGACCAAACGTACTTGCCTATTTTCATGCTTTTCATTTTTTTTTTACACTTAAACTAAGCATAGGGAGTTAGAGGAAAAGATACATGTGATATAACTTCCTATTCCAGCTGTATTTATGTGTTCATATTTTTATTTAAAATAAAGATATTCATCACTATTTATTTATTATGCTTTTATAGCAATTTTTCTCTCTCCAAAACTTCTATCTTTTTTTGAATTTAGTGGCTTAGGTTTGCAGGGAAGTGTGTGTGTTTTGTGGAGGGTCCTCTCAAGTCTAATTTACCACATGTGCAGTGATGTTTGTGCTCTGACTCCAAATTCTAGTTTGAAAACCTCATTTCAGTTAAAGGGGAGAGATACTGAACTGATACCAATGAGGTAACCATCCTCAAAGCAGAGAAAGTAAGATAAAGATGCAAAACTAGATGAGAATATCATCGTTCTAGTTAAATGCAGTCCTGATGTAGGCTTTTAATTTTGAGAGTAGTTTATGTGCTTTTCGTCTCCTCTAACCAGTAGGCTCCAGACAAGTAGTTACCTTTTTTCATACTACTAAGACTCATCCATTTGACAAAGACACGTCAAGATCTATTCAGGTTAGGGAACTTCTATGAATCTCAGTGCCTTTATCCAAAAGATAAATTGGTCTGTTAACTTTTTAAGAGCTTGAAAGAAACCCTGAACATCCCGCCTTGTATCTCTTCTGCAGCAAATCAAGACATTGCTATTTTAGGTGGGGTGGCTTTTTCTTTGTGGGAAAGTAGGAGTGATTTTTAGAGGTGTGCAGGTCGTTGCTACGTGTAGTGCTGAGATTCTTAAAGAGTTTATCACCTAAAGCTAACAAATTACTTCCATTAAACTGTAAGGATTTAGTTGGACTATGAGTTTTTATGTATAGGTTCTGTGTTTAAAATCTTCTACTTGTCTCATGAATAAAATAATTCCTTCATGACATTTGCATCAAAAAATCATACTCAGTCAATATGCCTCATTGTCAAGTTAGGTGGTGATAATGTCCATAGCTGCTCAGAAAGGCAGTTACAAGGGGAAACAAACACCAAAAACCTTACTGCTTGTCCGAGTTTGAAGTAACATGTAGACCCATAAGGAGGTTGCAAGAAAGGGGCTGATATTCTAAGTTTGTGGAGAAAGAATTAGATATAGGGTCTTCTGGAGGGAAGTAATATTTTAACACAGAGGTCCATCTAGCTCCCTTTCAGCTTTTCATTCAAAACAAACAAACAAAAAATGCGTTAATATCATTTAAAAGAAAAAATAAAAATGAATTGCTCTTTTGTAGAGGAGACTGGTCAGATGATCTCTACCAACAGCAGTAGCGCATCCACTGCACCTCTGCACTCAGATTTTGAAAACAGCAACAGCAACGAGTTGAGCTCTCTGCAGAATGACTCCTTTAAGACATCTGATGATGCTGAAAATGTGGAGAGGGGATCTCAGGATTCAGAGGACTTAGGTAAAACTTATAAAATCTTTAATACATCTTTTTATTTTTTTACTTCATAGCTCCTATATATCTGTAGACTATTTTCAGCTTTTAAGTTTGTTTTAAAAGTCTTTTTTAAATTTCATTATTTGTTATTTCTATTCCTGGGCAGGAGAGAAATCTAATGGTGAAAGAAGTGACTCTCCAAGCACAGGAAGAGGTGCCCCAGGTTCAACACGAATGCTCACAAGATTACGAAATCCGGATAGCAAGTTGTGCCAGATGAAAAATCAGCAGAATCAGCAGAATCAGCAGAATCAACAGGTTGCTACTGCAGCACATGAAGCAAATAAGTTGAATAAAGAAAGCAAAGAGGTTTGTAGGAAATGTATATTATCAAATGTCGTAACTGTCATCCAAGAGGTAGTTGGTGTCCTCCCCCACCCCCTTTTCTTTGTTTTTTCCTCTCTGAGTTGCTGACTGAAAGGTGGTATGACAGTGATCCTGTGTACTTATTTTGGTTTAATGAGCAGCTTATAAAGATTATGGATTTGTTTATTGTATGTCCAGTTTGACTATGGTCTTGTCTAGGTCAGAATAGCTAGGTTTTGAGTTGGTAGCAAATCCGTACTGGCAGTGAATGGTTGTTAAAAATAGGCATTGCAAAGTTGTTGCAGTGCTTAATGCAAGCTAGAAGTGAATTCCCTCAAATGACTCTGCCAATTGGGATGGATTTTTGCTGTGGTTATAGGGGTGTTTTTGTTTACTCTTTGGGGAAGTCAGTTTCTCCAGAAGAACAATGTTTGAATGCTAAACAATGGTTGCAGTTAGTTGACTGCATATTGTTCAGGGTGATGCTTTTATTTTTGCAATTTATTTTTCAGTGTGTGTGGATTCTGTGGTTTACCGAGGAGGAGCTTCACAGAAAGGTTATTTCAGCCCTAGTGAAGGCTCTCCCAAAGCTGTCTCCCTCAATAGGCATAATTCAGAGTAGCAAACTTTGGTTCTTATTTGTTCTGAGGGGAGCCTGGATGACAATTTTCTTAACGCTAAAGTTTTTGAGAATATAATCATATATAATCAGTGGTTAAGTTTGTATTCAAAGTCTTAAGATGAACATTTATTTACTTCTATAATAGGGAGTTGATGCTAGATGTTTTTATGAATTTATAAATAGATAGACCAAGTCTTGCACCATAAATCATTTAATGGAAGTATTTGAAACTTAAGTGAATTTTTATTTTTTTTTTTTTTTTAACAAGGTTCCCTCAACTGGTGGCCAGTTGGTAGTCAGCTCTCCAAGTGATGTCTCCCGAATGAATCCAAAGAAGGAAATAGTGCTGAAAGGAAATATGAACAATTATTTCAAATTAGGACAAGAGGGGAAGTACCGTGTTTATCATAACCAATATGCCACTAATTCATTTGCATTGAACAAGCACCAGCACAGGGAAGACCATGACAAGAGGCGACATCTCTCACACAAATTCTGTCTGACTGCTGCTGGAGAGTTCAAGTGGAATGGGTCTGTACACGGCTCCAGAGTTCTCACCATATCCACTTTGAGGCTAACTATTATTCAGCTAGAAAACAATATCCCGGCATCGTTCCTTCACCCTAACTGGGCTTCCCACAGGTAAGTGAATGCCTGAAACTGTATATTCTTGTTTTCCTTGTATTTTTGCTTATTGCATTAATAGGAAAATGGCTTTGACGTTCTGTGTCGGGGAATCACAGTGCTTGTAGATCACTGTTGAAATAAAGCATGTTTGTCTTGTGTTGTACCACTAAGAGTTGTGCATTTTAGTGAAGTATTAAAATATAGGAGTCTGTTGCCTACCATTAAATCTCTTTTGCAATTTAGGTCCAACTGGATTAAAGCTGTTCAGATGTGCAGCAAACCTAGAGAATTTGCACTTGCTCTGGCTATATTGGAATGTGCAATTAAACCGGTTGTCATGCTGCCAATCTGGCGAGAATCCTTGGGACACACTAGGTAAAAATGTCTTTTCACATTTGAGAACTTCGTTCTGGTTTACAGTTTACACTGACTAGTTGCTCTAATCCTTCAATAATTGAAAGACAATCGTTTAGCATTTAAAAGCAAAATGATTTTTCTCAAGCAACAGAATAGTAAAACCATCACAAGCCATTTGTGTCATTGTTCCTGCAAAGCAAATTTATTTCCTTTATCAGAGCTGTAAAGTGATACTTTTTTGGAAGGCCAAAAAAGCAACTTTCAATACTGTTGGTTAGAATCTGTGTGTTGTCTTTCATTGTGTCACAGAAGCAAAAATAAAATGTTTCTGATGTTAAACACTGCTGCAGGCAGCTGTTTGCTGTACTAGAATAGCCAAAAAAATAAATATTCCTGTTGAAAAAATGCATATATCTAAAAGCAGACACTAGCTGTTTCTTTCCACTTTAGTTATTCAGATTATTCAAAGGGATAGTATATGCTATTGTTTGATGACTTAAATTTGTTGAAAAGCTTCTGTATTCTGTTTAAATGAAAGCAGTATTTAAGTTTTGCTTGGATCTGTATGTACTAGATTGCGCAGAATGACAGCACTAGAAAGAGAAGAAAAGGAGAAAGTGAAAAAAAAAGAGAGAAAACAAGAAGAAGAAGAAACAATGCAGCAAGCTACATGGGTAAAATATACCTTTCCTGTCAAACATCAGGTAAAATTTTGTTTTCCATGAAGAATATGACACACAGAAATGACAGACTTCATATTTATCTTTCTCCATTTTATTTTAGATTTAAAATATTAATGATATTTATTGCATTACTTTCCCTTCATTGTAATGGAATGTGGCCCCATATATTCGAGCATGTAACTTTGGCCTGAACTTGCTATATCATGTCTTATGGTCTCAATCTGCTTTAGTTGACAGCTATGTTTGGCTGTAAAATGCAGCCCTTACTAGTGAAGGAATTCAAATAGGGGTACTGGAATCTGTCTGCTTGTCTTTTGGTGTCCAGTGCTGGCCATCTAAAAGCGATTACGTTTCATCACAATAAGTGATTTGTTTTAACAAACATAGAATTGATTCCAAAACTTGTAGAATGCTTCAGCTTTTAGCTAAAGGTTACTGGAAGATAGGATTTTAAATGTTACTGATAGAAACAATTATTAGCTGATATCTCTTGAATTCTACATAAGTTTGGGGTTTTTTTACAAAATTATTTCAATTTGCTTGAAAAAGGTCTGTTAATTAAAATGTAGTCATTTTAGGTTTATAAATGAGTATGTGCATATGCAATGCAACAGATGGCCCTATTAAAAATAAAACTTTTTAAATATTTAATAGGTTTGGAAACAAAAAGGAGAGGAATATAGAGTAACTGGATATGGTGGTTGGAGCTGGATTAGTAAAACACATGTCCATAGGTTTGTCCCCAAACTACCTGGAAATACGAATGCAAATTACAGAAAGTTGCTACCAAGTAAGTAGCTGCATCAGTTCTTTTTTTTAATTGCTAACATACTGTTTTTTATTATACATGCAGTTATTCAATTGATTACATAAGTGTGATAGTCTTTGTTTGAGAGTATCATTCCACTTTGCAAAAAAGTTTTTAAATTATTTGTTGCCATTAATATTAAGATTCTTTCTTTGTTGCTTTTAACTGGATCAGACAAAATGGATGCTGTTGCTTTTAGTGTTGTCTATATACTTACTATATTAGATTAATCTTGCATTTTGGATTGCAGAGAATAACCAGTACAGCTGGTTACAGCATGCTGATGTTCTGGATTTAAACATTCAAGTCAATTTTTAAAAATAACCACTGAATTTTCATAGCCTGAATTACACTTTTAATGGCTAGATTTTCAGAAAGTGGTGTTTAGTTTGAGAAAAGTTACCAGTGTACTAAAAAGAAAAAAAAATACTTTGAATAACTTGAAACCATTTAATTTATCTGTTAATAGCAAAGAATGAAGATATGATTATTGAAAAATGTGATTCGGAGAAAAGGAGAAATCCAGTAAGGATAAAAACAGAGAAAGATAAAATGAAGAATTCTCGTGATGTGCAAGCAAAGGACAAAGCAGATATTTCTGAAACTTTGAGGAAAGTAAAAGAAGAAAAAAAGTCAAAGGAAGAAAAAGTAGAAAGTGATACGAATTCTGAAAATTTAGATCATGCAAAAGGTAAACAAAATATACATCTTATTTTAAAGCCAGGCATTCATCATGATGTTATATGAATAAAAAACATTGGACCACAGGAAGAAATGGCTACTGAAAAACTGTACGAGGTTGTAATCAAGATACTTTGGACTTGACAGTTGAGAGACATTTTTTTTGTAGTTGTTCCCTTTTTTTTCTCCCAGAAATCTACAAATATTAGTTGCATATATTTCTTTTGCTTAATGTAAAATATAGCTTGTTATTCATTGTTAGGGGAGCTTACTAATTTAGAATTATTTCTTCTTTGCAGCTGAAAAAGAAACGGATAGTGAAAATGATAAAGTTGTCAAGGAAGAACCTATGGATATAGATGATATGAAAATTGAATCCCCCCTAAAAGATGAGGATAGTCTTTGTAAACGGGATATCATCAATGTCAGTGAGGGATTTCATTTAAGGACTTGCTACAAAAGGAAAGTAAAAACATCAAAATTAGATGGGCTCCTTGAGAGAAGAATAAAACAATTTACATTGGAAGAAAAACAGCGTTTAGAAAGGATGAAACTGGAGGCTAGTGCTAAAACTGGAGGCATTCGATCCATAAGTCCCCAGAAGATCATAGATGAGCTAAAAGCAGGAAAGATAAAAGGAAGCCAGTTCGACCTGTCTCCTGAAGACAGAGCCTGTATTGTAGATAAGACCCAAACTGAAGATGCAGAGCAGGACTGCTTGCCCATCAGTAGCATCTCTAATGCCAAAAGCAGCGAGCTAGAGGAGCTGTCTTTGCCTTCAGCAGATAGACTATCAAAAGGAGAAGCCCAGCTGCTGGATGAAGGCTCCCCTCAGGGCTCCGAAGGTGAAAGCTCGGGTCAGAATGACAGTAAACAAAACAACTCCGAACCTATGACTACTGATAAATGTCAAGAGCAAGAGCTCCTTAAAGACTGTGAGAGTTCCTTAGTGGACGGCTTGAAACAAGCAAATGCAGGAAGTCAAATGAAATGGGATGTTTCAGAAACAAGAGCGAAACAAAAATTACCTATTACCAGGGTATCTAAGGATGAATGTGGAAATATACAGTCAGAGGTATCTGAAAGCAGCTGTGGAAAAGATGTTTTGGCTGTTCTTGAAAAAGCAGAAGGAAATTCAGAACAGCAGAGCCACGACCCAGAAAACAACTGTATGATAAAAAGCCATTCTGAACCAACATCCTTTCAAGAAGGTGAAATGGAGGAAAAAACAGTTCTGAGAGAGACTGAAGGTAAATCTGAAAATAAGGTTGTATTTCACCCAAAATCAGTTGGTAAAGACCTAGAAGCATTTAAAACAGAACTAATATCTGAAAGAAGTCATGGAAGTCAGACTCTGGAACACATGGAGGCAGCAGAATCTGATGAGGAGTCACTGGACAGCAAACTATCTGAAACTAATGGTAAAAAGAAAGGTCAGAAATTGAAAGTGGAGTCAAGTACAGTAAGCAGATGTCCTGATCAGACAAATCTAAACAGTGTTACTGACAAAAAGAATAATAAAAACACATCTGAGACAGACGTAGAAAAAAAATCACCACTTCAGGTGAATGGAAAAGACAATGACGTTAAAATGTTCTCAAAGGATGAATGTTTAGTTAAAGACACCCATGAGACTACAGCAGGAAGTGATATTGAATCAAAAGTTAATAACATTAGTAAATCCATCCCTGAGCATGAAATGAAACCATTGACTCTTAAGGAGACCTCAGTAAAACCATTTATGAACGGTGACATCGTGGTGGAAGACACAAACAATAAAAATAACGTGGACCCTAAGTCATGTTTGCAGAGTTCTCTAGAGTGTGAATCTGGAGAGACTCTTCAGCCACCACATGAAGTTCCTGAGTATGTGAAGAAAGCTGAAGAGAAGCAGCTTTCTCCTGAAAAATCCACCTTTGCTAGCACTGCTTCCACACCGACACGTGCACTTGGTAAAGAAAACAGCCTAAGTGGCGAAACAGAGTCTATGGAAACCGAAGTCACTGAAGATAAGAAGGTTGTTCCATCGCCTGTGACATCCTGTGAGGAATCCAGTTTGAGTAGTGACTTTGCTGATCAGAATGGTCTACAGACCTATAAAGTGGAAGATACTAATGGAGAAAATAAAGTTAAAACTATTATCACTGAAGTGACTACCACAACATCAACTGTTTCTACAGAATCTAAAACTGTGCTTAAAGTTGCAGAGTCTGTAGCTGCTAATGATGGAAAAACAGTGGTATCATCTACGGAAAACTGTGCCATATCTACTGTAACTACCACCACTACTGTTACTAAACTTACCACTCCAACTACGGACAGCAGTGTCGATGTCATTTCTGTACAGGAGCATAGCAAAACAGTAGTTACAACAACAGTAACCGATTCGCTGACCACATCAGAAGGCACATTGGTGACTTCCATGACTGTCAGCAAAGAATATTCTACAAAAGACAAGGTGAAACTAATGAAATTTGCAAGACCCAAAAAAACTCGTTCTGGAACTGCCTTGCCTTCTTACAGAAAATTTGTTACCAAAAGCAGCAAAAAAAGTATATTTGTTTTACCCAATGATGACTTGAAAAAGTTGGCGAGAAGAGGAGGGATCAGAGAAGTTCCTTATTTCAATTACAATGCAAAACCTGCCTTGGATATTTGGCCCTATCCGTCTCCAAGACCAACCTTCGGAATCACTTGGAGGTATAGACGGTTGTATATTTAAGAAAAAGTTTGGGATGGGATGAAACTTGGATTTCATTTAAGGACTTGCTACAAAAGGAAAGTAAAAACATCAAAAGAGGCCAGACTAAAACACAAAGGAACAATTTAAGGGGGTTCTGATGAAATTTAAATATTTTACATCCTGGGTTGGATAACCTTGCATGTATGTGGGGGACTTGGGCTTTTCTGTGTGTATTTCTAGAACCTGACTTATATCTGCCTCTTACCTCTGAACATCCATATTGAAAATTTATAAGAATGATTTCCTTTGACTTGGAAAATCCACACCTCTTGCACCATTGGCTAAATTGGAGCTTTTGTGAACTTTGCTATTTACTCTGTAATTTCATTAATTCTTCAGTAAAAGTAGAATGAAAGGCATGTGCATCTTGGTTAAGTATTTTATATCCATTTGGATTTAAAGTGCAGTTAATACCCTTTCTTTGTGGTTAGGTATCGACTTCAAACAGTGAAATCACTGGCTGGAGTGAGTCTTATGTTGCGGTTACTGTGGGCATGTCTCAAATGGGATGATATGGCTGCAAAAGCTCCACCTGGGGCAGGAACTACACGGACAGGTATCTCTTCAAACTTCTTGATTTCTTAACACAAAACTTATTGCCAATTTCTAGTACTACTCTTATTCAGATCATTTGTAAAGACTTGATGTTAGGTATGGCAATGGTATTTGTTTAAATAACTGACAGTTCACATTAATTGCTCTTTATTTACTATGTATTATATATTATTTACTATATATTATGTAATTAAAGATTCTTTGGATAAATTTTGTTTAGCTTTTATCTTGTGCTTTTTTTTCCTATTTTACTAACATATTGGGAAATAATTCATTGTAGAAACATCAGAGACTGAAATTACAACAACAGAAATAATCAAGCGGAGAGATGTTGGTCCTTATGGAATCCGGTCAGAATACTGTATAAGAAAAATTGTGTGTCCCATTGGTGTACCAGAGGCTCCAAAAGGTATGTTTGTTTATACATTTTCCCTCTCCCCATAGGCTTGTACAGAAATTAAGGTAACTGTATCTTTACATTAACTCTGAGCATGCAGGAAGCTTGTTCTCCTTTGTGAAACAAGTGATGCATTTAACTCACTTCATCTGAAGCTGAAAGGCTTTCCTCTTTCAAAAATGAGTTTGAAAAAAATAGCTTTAACACAGAAATGTTCATTGTAAGCAGAGCATTTTGTCTGATTTTGTTAAAAGAATATGAGTTCTAATGCTAGATTTTGTGTTACACTTTCAATTTTTGTTTTTGAGATTAATGTCTGTGTTTTGGCTGTTCTCTAAAGAAACTCCAACACCTCAGAGGAAGGGACTACGATCAAGTGCACTAAGGCCAAAAAGACCTGAAACCCCCAAGCAAACAGGCCCTGTTATCATTGAAAGTTGGGTGGCTGAAGAGGAATTGGAATTATGGGAGATCAGGGCATTTGCTGAAAGGTAAACCAACTAAAGTGAGCTTTTAAAATACCATTTTGATTTGTGCTTATATTTTAAATGTTCCTGCTAAAGAGCACAAGCTTGATAGTTACACTCAGTGAAAGTTGACCTGTGTTGTATTTTATGCGAATAAACACAAATTAATTTAGGAAGGTCTTAAAAATAGCTATAATGAATCTGTATTAATTTGTATTATAGAATAATTTTAACATGTACTGTTTGAGGTCCTGTAGTAGCCTAAAACTTGTCCATACACTACAGCAAATAGCAATTTAACCATAAAACACCAGTTGTTTCATGAGCATAGGAAAATAGTTGCAAAGAAAATGAACACAGGTATATGAAGCAGAGAGAAATTTAATCTGAAAATTTTGCCATCATAAAAGAAATAATTTCAGTATTACATACTTAAGAGTTGGAACATTATTTTTGAGTTGCTTGAGAAAAACTATTTTACTGATGCTATTACACAGATGGCATTTGCAGTCTCTGATATAATTACAAATTCTAATTTTGATTAGCAGTTTCTTAAAAGGTGTTGTAGCTGCTTCACTTCAGAAAGCTTCAGGGATGTTTAATGTGACCTCACTAGTCTGTTTTGAACTCCTTAAAGGCATGACCAATTTCTCAGTAATCTTAACATTGGACATTTGTTCTTGTAAGACTGAAACTAGCTAAAATGAATCCAATTTGGTGGCTGAATTTCATGCGATGATAAAAGTCTCTCTGGTTGTTTGTCTTTGGCAGGGTGGAGAAAGAAAAGGCGCAGGCAGTTGAACAGCAGGCTAAGGTTAGTGAACTGAAGAAGTCGGAGGAAATCAAGGCCCAATTGGAGGCTCAGCTAAAACAGCAGCGGTTGGCTGCCCAGCAGGTGGGGGAGCTCTCAGTAGTCCCACCTGTCCACAGTTTTGCATGGTTGGCCTGCATACATTCAAATCTGGGAAACAAATTTTATCCCTGTTTTTTGCCTTTTTTTTTTTTTTTTTTTCTTTACCCCACTTCATGTGTGAACTTGACATGTTGAAGGGGACTCATTAAGACATCCAATAATGTTGGGGTCACTGTGCATATCCATTATTTTGAAACAGGGTTGTGGCCAAGTGGACTTATTGTTTGGTTGTTTTCAGTAATTGGCTTCCAATTTTTTGTACCTTATTTCTAACACTTTAAAAAAGATTATTTATTTATTTTAAAAGAAGACAAGCAACAATGTCCAGGTAAGATGAGTGGTATTCTGTGGTGTGATGGAAAGCTGCCTTGATATATGGCTGACTTTGGAAGATAACTACTTTTACCTTTCGTGCTTCAGTAGAAACAGAATTTTTGATTTTAATTTTATCTTGAATTTGCTGGAATAAGTATATACATGTATGCAAATATTTTCACTTATATGAAACATGAAAAACTGAAAGCCATATTGATATTTCACATGCTCTAAATATTGTACATTTTTCAGCTTCCTCATTTTTCATTTTATCTTCTTTGATTGCCATGTTATTTATAAGCCATAAGCATTAACTCTGTGTAATGCTAACCAGTCATCGGAATTTAAATTAATAAGTACAGAGATAATTTCTATAGTACAAGGAAGAAAGATCAGTTGACATTGTGAAAGAGCCTGCTGATACCAATACTGACCCTTCACAAAGGCAGTTCTCTGAAATAAATGTGACTTTTGTGACAGTTACGAAAGTGTCTTGTGAGGTGTGTCTCCTACTGAAGTAGGAAAAGGCTGTATGTGCAGGATTTTAAAGTTGCTGTAAAGGAAAATTGTTGGTTGTTTATTATAAGCAAAATTGTAAATCTGCAGGTGAAGTGGTCTTGTCTGTGTAGTGCTACATGCTACACAAACTCTTCTTTTTTTATTATAGATTAAACTAAAATTATACCCGAGTGTCTCATTTTTCAATGCTGGGAAAACAGCATTTATTTTAATAAAATTTGAGATGGATAATTATCGCATTTTTTCTATCTTCTGTAGAAACGACTGGAACAGCAGAAGCAGATACCTATTGCAGGTGTGGCCACCGCAGTCACTACAGCCAGCAGTACTGCAACTACTGTCTCCACTCCACAGAAGGTTGTGGTAGGCCCTTTAGCGGGTCCGGTTCCTACTGGAACCAAAGTGGTGCTTACTACAAAAGTGGGTTCTCCAGCTACAGTAACATTCCAACAGAACAAGAATTTCCATCAGACTTTTGCTACTTGGGTTAAACAAGGCCAATCTTCAACAGGTAAGTAATTGTTTATCATGCAAAGAGCATGTAAATAGGATAAATTCCAACATATCACCTACATATTCTCCAGCATGTAATGTTTTGGACCCTTTGTTTGTTATCTTTGCTCTGAATTCTCTTGCTAAGTCAGCAGAACACTGACTCTGAAATTGAACCTAACTTTCCTATATTCATAGCCTTGCTTGCCTTTTCTGACCTGTTTAATTTATTGCTAGTAGTTGTATGAGCAATCAATGACAGTAATCACTGATAATGAAAGGATTCTGTGCTGTAATTTACTGTTTAAAAGAAAAAAAAAAAGACACATTCAAAATGACTGTAAAATGATCCTGTAGTTTGCCATTTCATACTTGCAAATAGTCACATTCTTGACTAATTATTCTGCTCTAAAATTGACTGTTCTGTGTACCTCAATAGCCACTAGCACAGCTGCCACTTCAGCCACAACCATTGCCAGCACAGGGCAGACCTTCCAGATCTCAGGCAGTCCAGTAACGATGGCAGGGAAAGTGATAACTAAGCTGCCACTCCCTGCAAACAGCAAGATTGTTGCCGTCAATGTGCCATCAACTCAAGGAGGTAGGGGAAGGAGAACTGAATTCAAAATGTATTCCAGCTTGCTGATTGATTCTCCATTGACACTACGTTCCCAGTGAAGTGAACTGTGTGACTTGGGAAAAAAAAAATCTAGAGCTTGTTCCTCTTTTGTGTCTTTAGGGGAAAAAATGCAAGATTTTGCCTCTAGATCACTCTACATTTAATAGTGCAAAAGTAGTGCAAACTATTTGTTTAAATGTGGAATGAAGCATGCTTTTTTATTACCTATATTAGATGTCAATAAAGTACTTTCTAACCCCCTTTAAAAGCAGCTGTTCTCAATTACTAATGCCAGCATTTGCTCTTCACTGAGCAAAAGTTTGGTGTCCAAAGATTGACATTCTTTATTGGCTGGAGTAAAGGGCTGTAATATTTTGCATTTTGTGGATGTATATTGAACATAAATGCCCAAACCATGTCTCCATTTTACTTAGTGTCTGAAGAAAACACGGAGGCTACTGGCTTTATATTAAAGTTTCTTAAGCAAAGGGAAAAACTAACCCATTTTCTCCAGCACTATGACTTTTGTAGATGAAAGGAGGAGTTAAAATGGACTCCTACAGTTAGATGAATCAGATACAGTTGAGTAAAGGTTATATAATGCTAAATTTGTGGCATGCTATCAATGCAAGGATTTCTTTGCAGCTACAGTCAAACTACTCTTTATAAAGTTTCCCTCTTTCCTTTTTTTCCTAAAATACCTGTTTCTTAGCTTGCAACTTGGTGAAAACACTGACTCATTATAATGCTGCTTCTTTTTAGACTATGACAAAGGTTCTCCCAAGAAATGTTTAAACACTCAAAGGTGTTCTAGAAACCTGGAGACTGATTTCTGAATGCCACACTGGAGTTGCACTGACTTTGTGTACCAAAAATTATGTCATTAATAAGTGCTTAATTTTTCTTTAATTAGGTGTTGTTCAAGTTCAGCAAAAGGTATTGGGTATCATTCCATCAACTACAGGTGCAAGTCAGACATTTACTTCATTCCAGCCAAGGACAGCAACTGTAACAATTAGGCCAAATACCACAGGGACTTTAGCAACAACAAGCACTTCACAAGTAAGATATTTTTCTACTTTTTTAATGCAGTACATTTGGGGTGTGCATAAGTTATTCACAGATATGAAAGTACTAGAAAGCATGTGGTCTCCTTTCTTGATGTTTTTGGCTTCCCTCAATAATAATGTTAATAGAGAGAGCTGCAGTTTCTCCACCTGGGTGTATGAAAAATATATATTTTTCATGAAAATGAAAATATTAAATCCTAATGAATAAAAATATATATTAGAATTTTAAAAAAAGTTTTCACCTGCTCTCCATTTTGGTGCATGTAGGTAGTGCAAGGAACATCACTCCGCCCTGGTATGACAGTAATACGGACACCACTTCAGCAATCTACACTTGGAAAGACTATCATTCGAACACCTCTAGTGGTGCAACAAGGTATTCTTCCAGCCAGTAGGTTCATTTTAATATTTAAATTTCCAATGTGAAATCCGTGTTTTCTTTCTCATAAATACTTTTTATATCACAGGCCTCAGTGCATAGGTATCTCATTTTGGTGCTTAGCTTTTAACAAGTGTTGTTTTGCTTTTGAGGATGTCAGTTACAGGCTTTTTCAGCATTAATCATCATTGATATCAACACAATAGTTTAAAAGTAAGCCATTAAAAAAGAAAGTTTGCATTAACAGTGATTTGAGAAAGTTTTTTTTTCATTTAAAGGCAGTGGATGGCTAGCAGTTCAAGTTCCCTGTAAATATATAAACTGAATTATAAAATAAAAATATAAAACACCGAAGACTTATCAATCACAGACATATTATCTTGAGTGGAAATTCATTTGCAAAATGTAGTGTTTGCTGGATTTGCCTGGTGGTGTTGCAAGAAGCTTGGCGTTATTGCAGAAGCCATGATTAAGATGTTTATTGTGCTAATAATTAAAATGTCAGAAACATTCCAGTATCACAATATTATTCTCTTGCAGGTCAGACACAGCAGGTAGTGACTCAGATAATCAGGGGTCAGCCTGTGTCAACAGCAGTTTCGGGTACTAGCACAGCTTCTTCGAGTCCTGGGCAGAAGACAGTGACGTCTCCTGGCACCTCCCCACAGCCCATACAGCCCCAAACAGCATCGCAGCCCCCTCGCCCTCAGCAGGGACAAGTGAAACTCACCATGGCCCAACTCACCCAACTAACACAAGGCCAGGTAAGATACCTTACAGCCCCAGGGCACGAAGATGTGCTTTCCCTTGGTGTGCTAAGCAGCATAATGCATCTTAGTTAATTCTGTATACATCAAGGATAGCCAGAATGATGATGTCCAAAGAGGGAGCTTACCCAACAGGCATTGACAGCATGTTCCAAAGCAGCTGAAGTGTCCGTGGTGAAAGCTTGCAGTTGGGTAGAATCTGATGCACGGTTAGGAATTCTCTTGCAGTGTCGAGTTTTTACACAAATTGTTTGGACGCTTGAGAAAATGATTAATAGTATGTCCGTGCTCTAAAACTTGCATGCTCTGTCTTGCTTGTAAATTATAGCAACAAATATGTTCCATTTTAGCTGCTTTCTCGATAAGGTTCTTATCAGTATTTGGATTAAATTTTTTAACACTAATTTGTTGATTGAGTTATAGAAAGAGTATTTTACTGTCTCTTGATCTCAACGCCTTCTTTTGGAAGTTAAGACTGTTATATATCGTTTAAGTATTTAATTCTGATATCCTAAACCCCATTTCTCCTAGTTTTCACTGTAAAAGAATTATCCCACTAATAGAGTAATATTTATTTCACTTTTTTCTTTAGGGTGGCAGTCAAGGACTAACTGTAGTAATTCAGGGACAAGGTCAAACTACTGGTCAATTACAATTAATCCCTCAGGGTGTGACTGTAATACCAGGTCCAGGACAACAGCTAATGCAAGCAGCAATGCCAAATGGTACAATTCAGAGATTCCTTTTCACCCCACTACCACCAGCAGCTACTACAGCTAGCACCACTACAACAACAGTTTCCACTTCAACCTCAGGTAAGCACTGTTCTGTTGAGCAGGAAAAAAAAAAGGTTGCTGCTTTTGTTTTTCATTTGTGCAGTTGAAGAGGGTCTCTTCTTAGTGAAGTAAATTTGCTGGAATTATAGAATACGCTTAGTATGTTTTGAATCTCTGTGTAGAGCTTTACAATAGTTTAAAAGGTAGGTTTTGAAGTAGTTCTAAAGCTGCTTTGTGAAATTCATAAAATGAGATACTTCGCTTATATCCTTCGCAGCGACAGGAGAGCAGAAGCAAGCTTTACAGGCGCAACCAGCTTCAGCACTGCCAGCAATTCAGCCGCAACCTCAGAGTCAACAGTCTCAGTCCCAAGAGCAGAATCCAAGTGTCCCACCTGTACCACCAGCCCAACCAGAGGCACCTCAGCCACCACCCCAGCCTGAAACTCAGACCCAGCCTGAATCTCAGACTCCGACAACTGTCGACTCTCCAGCCACACCTGAGGCGCAGACACCCAAGTCTCCAGTGACAGTTCAGTCTCCGACACAGACCCAGGCTCAAGGGCAATCTCCAGTGCAAGTCGTGAGTCAGCCACAGACTGTCACCCCTCCACCAGGCCAGTCCCAAGTCCAGCCTCAACAACCAGCTCAGGTGCAGACTACAACCCAACAACAAATTCAGATGCAGCCCCCTGCTCCCTTACAAATTCAAGCTCAACTGCAGCAATCACAACCTCAGGTTCAGACTTCAGTCTCAACCCTTCCAACTACTCAAAGTTTAAATCAGGTTCCTGTGCAATCCCCAACTCGTCCTCAGCTGCAACTTCAGCAGCCTCCAACAAAAGTTATTACAGTGCCTCAGCTTCAGCAACAAGTCCAAGTTCTCTCTCAGCTTCAGTCACATGTTGTGGCTCAGATACAAGCCCAACAAGGCAGTGTGCCCCAGCAGATCAAGCTTCAGTTACCTATTCAGATTCAACAAACTAGCCCAGTACAGGCTCACCAGATTCAGAATGTGGTAACAGTTCAAGCAGCTAGTGTTCAGGAGCAGCTGCAGAGAGTTCAGCAGCTCAGGGAGCAGCAACAGAAGAAAAAGCAGCAACAGATAGAAATTAAACGTGAGCACACCCTTCAGGCTTCTAATCAAAGTGACATTATCCAGAAACAGGTAAAGTTAACAGAAGGAAATTAAAAATTAATGAAACAAATCTCATTTTAAATGCCTGTTCTCATTAACAATGTTAATACATTTGATAGGCAGTTAATTTGATTGTTTCAGAGTTAGTGCACGATTAGTTTTGACAGTCTAATAAAATATTCGAAGTTAATTCAGCATATCAAGTCAATTGTACCGTGTTTGCAGTCTTCTGGCACCTCAATTCTGCTCACTACTAGCTGCTGGGACAGTATATCTTAATTCTCAGTTCAGAAAAGATAGGTTACAGATAGGAGAGCTGATGTTCAGAACACACAGCCCTTTCCTTGCCTGCTATAGGAAACTGAGGTTTCAAAGAGGTATCTGGAGTGTAATGTTGTTGGATGGCTGCAGGGCTTTTAAAATACATATATACTGGACTCTTCTTTTTTGATATATATATATGTATGAAACAACCAGTCACTGAAGAAATAATGTCAATTTACATGTCTGTTTGTCCCCAGGGGTTTCAATTGAGCATAAACTGATTTCTTAATCCATTCCGGTTGGAAGCGGGAGGAGGAGATAGCTTTTAAATATCAAGGCAAATACTTGCTTTGAACAAGCACTTAACTGAAATTTTAATTTAGGAAACATCCTGGTTCTCCCAGTAGTATTAACAAATACCAGCTCAAGTTTTCACATTTTATTTTGGATTTTTGTATGATCTTTCTTACAGGTGGTTATGAAACAGAATGCTGTGATAGAACACTTGAAGCAGAAGAAGACACTGACTCCAGCTGAGAGGGAAGAAAATCAGAGGTGAGGATTACATATATTTAGCTGCTTGTGTTTGCAGCATCTTCTGCAGAACAAGATTCTATTGTTTTGTAGAATCCTGTTTGTAGTCATTGTTCTATTTTTAACATTGACTAAAGCAATACTCAAAAGTAACTGGTATGCACTCTGACAATACTAATGATATCCCCACCTGTAAGTGATTGAATTCCTATATGTTCTTAACTTTATTTTGTTTATTCATTCCTTAGAAAATGAGTGTTTGGAGTGTTATAGGGGAAAAAGAAAAGATTAGTACTCAGATTGGTTCTTAAGTGAAATTGGGACTGACCTTCTTTAGCCAGCCTAAGGACTTTCCATCTGTTCCTGGAGTGCTCTAATAAATATGAATGAGTTTGAACGTCTCGTAAAATTTTACCTTGTAATGTTTTATTTCAGGGAAATTCAGCAACTTTCAATATAGGAAATTCTAACCTCTTGCAACTTGCAGAGGCTAGAGAACTAAATAATTATGTATTCTCAACTTGGGATAACCATTGTGCTTTTTTTATTCCTTTCCTAGAATGATTGTTTGCAACCAAGTAATGAAATATATCCTGGATAAGATAGATAAAGAAGAAAAACAGGCAGCTAAGAAACGTAAGCGAGAAGAGAGCGTGGAACAGAAGCGTAGCAAGCAGAATGCGTCCAAGCTCTCGGCTCTGCTTTTCAAGCATAAAGAACAGCTGAAAGCTGAAATACTGAAAAAACGAGCACTTCTGGACAAAGATCTACAAATTGAAGTGCAGGTAAGGCCAGTTCTTCTGAAAGACTAATTTGATTTTTATATAGGAGTATGTGTTAATTTTGAATTTGCTTGCTCAGTGCGCTTTTAAGAAAACTTACCAGAAAAAGTTCCAGATTTGGATTCATGGCTCTCTGCTTAACCGATAGATGTCCTTTGTATGTTTCTAGTTTTCATCTGTATTGAAAATACTTCATTTCAGAAAATATTTGCTGATAAATTACAGCTGATACATCATAGTAGGCAATGTGCTATCCCTCAATTTTATGCAAGTTGTACATTATGTACACTAAGAACTTTGTTCTTTTAAATGACTCTTCTGATCAGGCATGCAATTTATGTCTAGATTTTATTCCTATCCTAATCTTACGAAATCTCTCCCGCTGTTTTTATTCATTTAATGTGCTTCAGGAGGAGCTAAGGAAAGACTTGACTAAAATTAAGAAAGAAAAGGAAAAAGCACAGGCAGCTGCTGCTGCTGCGGCAGCAGCTGCCGCCGCTGCAGCCGCTGCTGCAGCCACTGCGCCCCCTCCACCGCCACCGCCGCCACTGCCACCACCACCACAGCAGCACGCAGCCAATGTCACATCCTCCTCCACCACTGTCCCGATGCCGGTATCCTCCCAGAAGAGAAAACGAGAGGAGGAGAAAGACTCATCAGCTTCCAAGTCCAAGAAAAAGAAAATGATTTCTACTACCTCAAAGGAAACAAAGAAGGACACAAAGCTTTACTGCATCTGTAAAACGCCTTATGATGAATCTAAGTGAGTAGTGGATTCCATAGGCTTTTATTGTGCATTGTTTGATTTTAGGTTTAGTGTTTAGCTCTTAGTCTAAGGTAGACTTAGTACTGGAGATAGAATATCAGGTGTTATTTCAGTGATCACTAAGGTGTAAAAAAATTAAGTCTCTGGGTTCCACTAGCAATCACAGAACTGTTAACTTGTTTGATTTATCTTTTTACTTGTTTGCATGTTTCCATTGTATGACCTTTCTGTCTCACATGCACATACTCTTCTCTTTTTTTACCTCCGCTCTGTTATTCTTTCTTTTGCCGTTTTGCCTCTGCCTCGGAAGCAAGTGACTGGGTTTGAGCAATTTCTTGTGGACAGGTGGCTGATGTCTTTTAAAGAAGCTTTTGTACCATCTTCCACTAAATGACTTCTTTTATAAAACACTAGTCAGTGAAGGGGATTCCAAGTTACTGGACTGTGCTTCACTGTGGCCGATGTTTCAGATAGTGGCTTCTGTGTGTTATATACAAGACCGGAACACAGGGTTGAATATGTAAGCCTTTGGCAAAGTGAAAGCTGGAGTCCTCTTTCACAGAGAGAATAAAACATTTAGAAAGCTGGGGGGGAAAATCTGTAAAATAGGAAATGCTATAAACAAAGTTTATGAAGAAAATGAGTAAGTAGTGGAGTGGAAGATTCAGTGGATTGCTGCGGGGTAGTGCTGTGCATACCTGCTTAAACTGCTGATGACTAACATCATGAGCCAGTAATGGTCTATACCAGATAGCTGTGCAGAGGTATGTGAAATGAATTAGACCTCTGGCCATTTCCAAGTGAGTATTTTCCTTAAGATTCCAAAAAGTGCCTGTACTGGTGTTTTAAATGTAAATGTTGATAACAGAAGTATAGATGTGCAGTAGCACTTTCACTCCAGTAATGGGCCTCATATAAAATTTAGGGCCAGAACTAGAGGATCTCTTGAGATTCCTTCTAGCCTTGTATTTATTTTCTTTTAATGAAGTTAAGTCGTTTTTTCTCCCACCTTGGGTGTTCAGTAGCTCAGATCCTTACAGCCTTATTTCAGTGTGGAAAAGTTGAGGCTGCTGCTTGTACCTTCAGCCTTTATAGAGCAGGCTTCAGATATCCAGGTTGTTAATTCACTGTTACAATAAGAGATGCATATCTCCCGGATCTCACTCAACCTAATAAAACAGTTGTGTCTTATCTGTCATTCAATAAACTTAGGAGGATACCCTGTTCTCATTTTGCGGTGATATTGAACACAAACTTGTGTACTACTGTTTCTGTTGTTAGTAAGCAATACCATTGCAATAAAAATAAAGGAAATAAACTATTTTTACTAGCAGAAGTATTTCATTGTCAGACTAATTATTTATGTTGACTTCAGTGGGTATTTGTCTAAGCCAGTGAAAAATGTGGCAACCAGTGAATTTTGGTGCATAGCACGGAGAACTGTGCTTAAATGCACAGAACAAAATGTCAAGAAAATGAGATGTTAAAAAACTTAGCAGTATATTTTAGTAATGTAATTCTGTTCTACTGCTCTGCTTTTTGTGAATTCTGAATTTCACCTTCTTACAAACAATGACTGTACTGTTGAACCACATTATTCTTTAACGATTTGGAAAGTCACATTTCTAAAGTGTTCTGGTAAATAACTTATGTGTGCGCACACGCACGGGCACCAGATATTCCTGTTTGTGCTGGTGTCTCATTTCTACTTTAGCGAAGATGAAAGTGCAACCTTAGAAAATAATTTATATTACAACTGTAGTATACATTTGTTAGAATGCAGTAAATCCACTACAATTCTTTGTTTATTTTATTTCAGACCTTTTATCTTTTTAGTTGTCATTTATGCCAGTCAGGAGTTGTATGTGATTTGCTCATTGCTTTTGAGGGTGGTCAGTACGGGTATCCTTCTAAGATTCATATTTATATTCAAGCTTGTTATAACGTGAAGCCTGTTCCAAGGCAAGGGGCAAGGTTTAACATCTAAATCTAGATGTGAATGTCCTTGCAGAACACCAGGAGCAACTAGATGCAGTTAGCTTTGGGCAAAGGAAACAAGCTGAGTTGTGGTGGATAGTTGGTTTGTTCAGTTTTAGGATTTATCTTGCTGAAAATTAAGAGAAAAGCAGGAGTTGAGTATATGAGACACATGCAGAGGCCCAGGAAACTGGCTGCTTGTTTCGTTGGACATGTGCTAGCTGCTGTGCTGTTGCTAATTTGTACTGTCCTATGGTTAATGTTGTCAACTGACAAATGAGAATGGCAGTAAATGATAAAGCAGCTTGTGGCAGGTGGACTCCAAAGCCTAGGGAGGCTTCTGCTGAGGCAGAGAGAACGGGCGTGTAGCTCAGCCCATCTTTTTGGTTGTGGCTAGTGGCAGATATGTTTGGAGGTATCCATACACAAATGTCAAACATTCTTGCATAATATTTTACAGTTTCTATCACGTCATTCTGTGCCAGGTCCCATTACATGGTTCTGTATCTGGTTCCCTTCACTTTGTGTCATACCACATCTGGTTCCGTCACGTAGTTTCGTCCCAGGGAGGCACTGACTGCCAAGTGGCCAACTTTCCAATGTGCTGCAGTTTGGGGTAGTTGAATATCTGTTTTGCAAGGCCCCCCAAAAATTAGAATTACAATGACCATATTCTGACACCATTTTCTTTCATATCATGTTATACCGATATGTATTCTACACATGGCTGGTATGCATGTTCTCTGTAGTTTACTTGTAACTCCTAGTTGGTGTTTGCGCTTTGCTTTGTATTTTAAATTAACTGAGACCTACATTTTCAAATCTCAAGGAACTATTTAAGTGACTTTTGACCTACAGTTTTGAAAATGTAAATCCTTTCCTTTGGCCTTGTCTTTTTGTGCCTTTTGCAGTTTTTCACACGCGCATTGGAGATGTATGTTTTTAGCCCAGCTTTCCAAGTTTTGTTGCATCCTGATGTGCATTTCAATAAACTGTCAATTTAAAATCAACCCAAGCGACCCTATTGACAGTTTAGCTGCAGCATGAAATGTTAGCTTGCAAGGACAGAAGGGCAGGAAGGAAGGGACCCAAGACAGAAAGCTGCAGAAAATAGGCCAGCAAACCAGGGCATCAAAGAGAAATGCAGGGAAAAGTGCCATGCCATTTGAAATGACAATTACATTGTCATTTTCATTGTGAATACTTTTAGGTTCTATATTGGCTGTGATCTTTGTACTAACTGGTATCATGGAGAATGTGTTGGCATCACAGAAAAGGAGGCTAAGAAAATGGATGTGTACATCTGTAATGATTGTAAACGGGCACAAGAGGGCAGCAGTGAGGAATTGTACTGTATCTGCAGAACACCTTATGATGAGTCGCAGTGAGTTCTGATAAGAACCTCTTATTTAATGTCTAGGTAGCAAACTGCTCTGACTTTGGTTACCTGTTCCTTACAACAAAAAAAAAAAAAAAGAAAGAAAAAAAAGTTATTCTGCATATATTGTAATCGTTGGTAATACAAATGCCTTTTCGGTAGTTCTCTTCTTCCCCCAAATGTTTCTATGTAGTAAATATTTAGGAAAAGTGAAAGTTTTCAAGGTATTACAAATATTTTGTTTAAAAAAATAAAAAAAAAAAACTTTCAATTGGAATTAATTTTAACAAGGGAGAACTAGAAAGAATAAAACAAATAATAGCATTTAGTGGAATTGTATGTACTATAGTCTTTTTAATCTAGAGAGAAAGCATAATTTTAGTATGGGGGGGTATGTGGTTGGTATGTGTTATTGTAAGGCCTTGTATCATGGGATACTCCTTCTGTATTCAGCTATGAGACTGAACCATCTATATAAAATGTTTGTGCAGAGGGTAACAGGAGCCCGAGATTGTAGTGCAGTTTGCACAAAATGCATTTGGAATAGTTTTGGAGCCCTGTTTGGGTGAGAGTTCTGGTGTTACACTGCTCCTTTCAGCTCTAAACACATGAATGATTTTTGAAACCCTGATTGCTTGAAAGTGTGTCTAGTATAAAATCTAGTAACTAACTTTGACATGAAATTGTTTGGCAGTTCAGTGTGTTTGTAAATGCAAAAGCTGTTGAGTAGTTCAATAAGCATTTGTCAGTCTGAAGTGTCACGTTACCCTTGTACTTAATCGTGCAAAGTATCTGCTCATGTGCAGGGGATTGCAGGTTTATGTTTTTAAATGGAATATTTTATTAAATAGATTGAGTCACTAACACTTTTTTTGGATCTTGCAGATTTTACATTGGCTGTGACCGATGTCAGAACTGGTATCATGGGCGCTGTGTTGGCATTTTACAAAGTGAGGCAGATCTTATTGATGAATATGTGTGTCCACAATGTCAATCCACAGAAGATGCCATGACTGTGCTCAGTCCACTAACTGATAAAGATTATGAAGGTTTAAGAAGAGTTCTACGTTCCTTACAGGTGAGAATAGGGATCGCAGCAAAGCTTAGCTAGTGAATCTTGGTTTAACCTCCTGCTCTTGGTCACCATTTTGAATAGGAAACGGCAAGTTTTCTTCTGGTTTTGTTATTTTGTGAGAAGTGCCACTAGGTCAGCTGCAAACTTAGTTAACATTAATTTACAGAGCAAAATTTGTGCTAGTTGGGAGATCACTGCCTCTGAGGTAGTGAAACTCCACGGTTCCACTGCAGTGGGTGGCTTTTAAGGGAAGCAGCTTTACTCAGAATACCGAAAAGTCAGGAGAGGTAGAGAAACTGCACTTGATGTGGAAAGTGTGCAAGGTTCTGTTCTCAGATTTGTTTTATATGATTTGTGGTCACAACTTCTGTACTCACGTTTCACAGTTACTAAGCTTTATGTAATACTGTATTCCTGCAGAAAGCCATTACCAGCCTGGAAGTAATGGCATGCTGATGAGAAATACTCTATCGTGTCATCTAGAGCAGTATATTTCTAGCTTATGCATTACTATCCCTGTAAAGACTTTAATAGCTAAAGAAATTATCATTAAAAAAGTGTGATAACATAAGGCTTAAAGGAGAAATATTTTATATTGTCTTATATTTTACAAAAACATTTTTGAAGATTGATTTTGAAATACTTGAAATCGAAAATTGTCCAATTTCTACGTGGAAAGCCCCAGCCTCTTTGAGTGAATAGTTACTTTTCTAAGAAGCTTTAATCCAGTATCCTGTTCCCTCTGAATTTCATACTTTCTATCATAAACTCAAAACTGTTCAGTATATCCAATAGAGCTTTAAAACTTGAGACAATCATGATATTACCTCTTCAGGTAACATTGCACTTTAAATTCAACTCCAGACCCATGCAGACAAAAATATAAAGAGAAATTTAACTGCTGCTGCATCTTTGCATGTGTGTAATGGTATCTTCTCAACTCACTAGGCTCACAAGATGGCATGGCCATTCTTGGAACCAGTAGATCCGAACGATGCACCAGATTATTATGGTGTAATTAAAGAACCAATGGGTAAGTGTTTATGGATGATGGAGTGAGTTGATCTGGGTTTCTAGTGATACAAAGTTCTAATTCATTACCAGTAACTGTTTCCCTCCAGGGATCTTAAAAATACTATGTGCAGGATACACATTTTGTAGTCAGGTGAACCATGCGATTTCCCATTGATGCCTTGAAGCTCATGGGAGAGAGTTAATTTATCTGCTTGTAGGCTAACTCCTTAACCCGGATACACCCTGCCTAATGTATAAAATAAGAATTTTGGTGAAGTGGTAGAGCCAAATTGAAAATGGTTCTTTTTGGGTTTATACGTTGCTGATGATGAATTTGCTTGGAGAAATACTTGCAGCGTGAATATCCAATGTGGGTTAATTAACCTTCTGTTTTTGTAGAGGTTAGAGCTTGAAAAGAAAGCTATAATTATAATATAATTAAGCATATAATCATGAAATTAATTCTGAAAGTCCTAAATGTGCTCTCACTAAGCAGCAAGAAAGGGTGTTTGTTATCACTAGGTAATCTAGGCCAAGCTATACATGTTTTTATGTATTCTGCCACTAGTGGCAATTCAAAGTAAGTGCTTTAAAGGCATTTTCTCAAAGGTAGGTCATTCTTTTTTTCCAGCTGAAAGTACCACTATACATTTAGACAACTATATTTATAGTTGGCAATTTATATTCCTCCCCCTCTACTGAATTTACATTTGCATGACAATAGGACCAATACTGCTTAATTCGCTGGTCCTGTTTTCTTAATCTGTCTAGTCAGTAAGAATGGGAACATTGGCATTTTGCATGATCCTGCACTTGAAATCTCTCTGTGCCATGTGGTAATGTGTATATCCCTGTGGAAACTGATAATTTATTCAAAACAAGTCATGGATGAAAATAAAAAGTAATGAGAAGGATTAAACAGAATAAAAATCATGTATGTATGTATAGCTGTTAGCTATCAGACAGCTGTAAGGAAAGCAAAGTGCAAGTAACAAAATCAAGATTATCTTTTTTTTTACCCTTAGTTTCTATGTAAATGATAAATAAGTTCCTACAAGAACTCAGGTTTTTCAAAGCCACTTTTGCTATTTACATGTTAGTTAAGGATGAATAGGTCCTCTTAGTGCCTCTTAGAGGGAGGTTTGCTCATGCCACCCTGTTAGCATTACGCGTACGCCAGCAAACGTGTCCAACTTACCTGGTATTCTCATAACGTCAGCTCCTGAATCTGAATGGGAAAATGTCTCACCTTAATAATTCTTGGTTTCTTTGAAGACCTTGCCACCATGGAGGAAAGAATACTGAAACGTTACTACAAAAAAGTCACGGAGTTTGTGGCAGATATGACCAAAATTTTTGATAACTGTCGCTACTACAATCCAAGTGACTCTCCTTTCTACCAGTGCGCGGAAGTTCTTGAATCATTCTTTGTACAGAAACTTAAAGGATTTAAGGCAAGCAGGTAAGCAGAGATGTTCTTAATCATACCTATTCTGTTGTCCCCTAAAATCTCGTATGGTTTTGTAAGCCCAGCTTGCATTAATACAGGTATCTGCTTCTGCGTGCACCTGTCTGAGCAGCTCCCCCCATTACCCTCCCCAATCTCTTCTATACTATCCAGCCATACTGTTTTCATTCACATTTAAGCATCATTATTTTATTGAGTTTCTTTTGTAACTTTTGCTCAAAATGAGTGGTTAAGGTATGGATTTGGACAGTATCATAACTGAAGAAAAATTGAGTGATGTTTTAAGTCGTTGCTACATCAAGGCTAAACAAAATAGTTCTTATTTCTGATCAAAATAACGCTGTGGTGTTCACAGTTTCGATGATCTCTGTTGTACAGAAAACCTTTTTAGATACCAGAAAAAGGCAAACTTTTCATGCAGCTTATAAACCAGGAACAAATGATTGTATTATAGATTTTATTGCCTTTTCATATACTTGAAAGCTACTTTTCTGTAACTCGCTATATGTGAAACAGAAGGAGGAAGTAGGCTTTACAGTAAGATGTTAAAAGCTGAACACAATTCATATTTTAAAAAAGTCCATTTTTAATGCTATTTTTAGTACAAAGATTGACATAGAGAATCTCCCTAAAATACACATTCCTGAAAGAGAACATGTACCTCTACTAGAGGCTTCAATCTGCTGCTTTCTGGTTCTGTATAGAACTAAAACTGCCTTTACTTTCTGGCTGTAATAGTCAAAGCAAACTGCTAGTCAAGATTAATGCAGGATTAAATCCATTAATCCATTGTAATTAACTAAATGGGAGGCTTCATTTTATATCCACAGTTGTGGGAGCTGTCTGTTATTCTAAGTACAGTGAGAGTAGGATTGATAAGAAGCAAGGTGAGAGCAAACGAGTTAATCTGGCATTTTTCTTTCTAATTTAAGACTTTAGTAGTGATTGCTCAGGTAGTCCTCATGTTTCTGTCATCTTGCTTTAGCTGGTTATCCAGCATTCACTGCTTGCACACTAATTTCATTGCTGCATTTTATTTGTTGTTGTTTTTCATTTTTACCATCCGTGTTCTTTCTTTTCTTGCAGATTGTGATATCTTTAGTCTGAACTTTTTAACTGGAATCAGAACTGGATGTTGGGGTCCCTTTCTTTTATTGTACAATTTGATGATATTAAACTGCCCTAAAAATCCAGATCACTTGTATGAGCAGTAAATGTTGGGGGGTTGGGTGTGGGGGGTTTTTTGGTTTTCTATCAGCAGTTGTGCTGGTAAATATAAATGTATTAACAAAATTGTCCCATTCCTTGGAATACTGTATGGAAAAAATGAAAAATTAATCTTGGAAACAGTGTATTTTATTGTTTTATTTTCAGTCACTAATAAAACTGTGAATGTCAAAGAAGAGTTTTGCTGAACTCTGATTAGCAAAAATGTGATTTTTAATATGCCTGTTCAGTTTTTTATATTAAGTTAATCCAAAGACTTCTTGAAAAATTTAAGCTAACTATGACTTATTATAAATATTCACACTCATAAATTTTCTTTATGCCTTCTTCTAAATAGACTACTACTGTGTAAACTTGAGAATAAAACTGATTTCAGGCATTTCTGGATATTCCAGGGACGCACCCCATTTTATAGGTAGTGAAGTTTTTGTATGTTGTAGGTGGAAATGTGCAGAAAATTGAGATGCTTATTTTAAAACAACAGAAGCAGCCTGGTGTTAGTTCCCTGCTAGTGATTTCCCCCTGGCAACACCTTGCAGCAACTGTGTTCTCAGAAATGAAGGGTGCTTAATTCTTCACTTTCTTCTGTATTCTGCAGGTCCCATAACAACAAACTGCAGTCTACAGCTTCTTAGAGTTCAGCGTGTTAACCTAACACACGAGCAAGGATCTGGTTGTCTGAAAATTTTTAATTAAGAAGCCAGATGTTTTTAGTCAGGTTATCCTGACAAGACTTGATGTAAACTGCGTTTTTATTGGTCACAGCAGTCAAATTATATTCTTGGCTTATTTTGTCCAAAGGACAAAGAAATAAAAATCAGCAGCACCACTTTCTTGTCAAGATCAAATTGTTGTACTATTGTGGCAGAAGCAGGAAAACTTTGTTTTTTTGAAGGAGAGAGAGCAAGAAAAAAGATACAGTAAATGGGGTCAAGTTTAACTCCATGGAAATGCCACGTCTGTTCTTCAGTGAAGAAGCTGGTTTAAAGTCCACACAGAAAACTTTGACTGTATTTATTTATTGTTGCAAAAAAGACGCTTTTTTATTGCTGCCCTCATTTGTCAGCTAATTATTTTTTCTTATAAAATCCAGTCCCGGTTACATGTAATCCATTCTGTATCTTAACATGATTCCTGTAGGTAAAAGTACAAGAAGACCTCTAGATGCCTTTTCTTTCTATGAAAGGAGCTGCTATGTACACATGTGCACACACACAGAGAACTGGGAATCAACAATGAGTTTATCATTCATGGTAGATAAAAACAATTAAGCTTGCATAAAAGTTGGGCTAAGTGGTCATGGACTACAGACTCTGTTGCCTTGAATATAACAGTACAATTTGTCATTTACTCTGCACCAGACTGAGATGAGTAAAATCTATTTGAAGGTATCTTGTTTGTAAACATTTGTCAGATTCTAATTTTTTTTCTTTTGTATTAAAATTCAAAATATGGATGTATATGAAACAAAATAAATGGAGATAATTGTTCTCCCCACACATGTAGGTGTCTTTGAGTGTGCGCTAATATGTTTGTAACCCTTGGGGGGATCTGTTGAGAATTATAGATAATGTAAGTAAGAAGGGAGGGACCTGGCCAGGGAGATCTGACTTTATTTTACTCCACAGGTAGTATTTACTACTTAAGCAGCTATTGTCTCTTTATAAAATTTCTACAGTGGTGCCAAAATTACTGCAGCAGATAACATGGTAGCAAGTATTCTGCAAAATGTCATTGCCTACTGCTGAATTAGGTGATATTTTGCAAAGTACTCTAGGAATGTAAAGTACCAAGTATAATTTAATCTCTGAAAGCTGTTCTGGATGGCCTTATTGTTTCCTGTATGAGGATTCTAGCATGAAGGGTAAACTGAAGTCAACAGATGATGCAATTTGCAGATTTTTGCTTTTCTTTCTGTCGTGTCACTGTCGCACTGCATATATGAAAGACTGTCCTACTAACTGTCTGCAGTTAATCACCGTGGTTTATGCAGCTCTTCAACCATTGGACTAGCTTTTGCACTAATTCACAATTAGTTTTTGTTTTACAGTTATCTGGGATTTACCTGATTTATAGATAAGCTCCTTTTGGGTTTAAACTCACACCTTGCTATGCAAGAACCTTTCCTGTTAATTTCTTAAAAAGACATTGCTACTGACCACATTTTCTTACACTTACAGGCTCAGGTGTACTGGTTCTGGGATAATTTTACCTAATAAACCCCATTTTTTGTACATACAGATGTTGTCATTTAACCTTTATGTGAAAACTAAAAATTGTTTGATGTGAAAACAATAATCCATTTATGCTTCTTAAAATTAGAGTTAGTTGCATTTAGGTTATGTTGTCCTTTGACTTAAAATGCTGCATATTGTATGCATTGTGATTTCTTTTTAATGCAAAAAGGAAAAAAATCTGAAATTCTAACAGCATTTCAACATATCCTGCATATCACAACTTCACAATATTTCTGTACTATTTAAATACATATGACGTTATTTAAAAGTTTCCTACCTGTAGGCAATAGATTGCTATGTTTTTAACAAATTGTGGCAAACTGAAGAGTACTTTTTTTGTACCTTATAGGACACATCAACCTTAGACAAATAAAGTAATGTGTTTGACATCGATTTGGTGGTGTTTCTAATGAAACATTTGGTAATGTTAACATCTTGGCATTGCCAGATCATGCGTAATTGCCTATGAATCAGTTTCAGTTTATTGAGGAAATCACCCACCCACACATAAAATTTCATCTTGTAAAGAGTCCTATTTAGTGTTTTTAGTGTTTTCAATTGCCATATAGTATATAGGGACATTTTTTTTAAGCTTTTTTAGTGGTGGTGTCATACAGTTTTAAGATGTTTGATCAGGTTTTCTTTTGTATCTTTCAGAACTCAGGAAGTGAACCCCCCAAACCAATTAATGCTTCATTAGCTTCTTTTAAAGGCAATGATTTGTCTCTTGGAATAAATAGTACAATCCCCTTGCAGGGGGACTCTTGCATTCCCATCACATTAAGGGTACCAAAACTTAAAGATTGTATCTTAAAAGCAACTTTATTGATGTGCAAGTACAAATTGGTTACAATTATCACAGGAGAATTACATTCTGTACACAGTTCTAGAACTGAACTTTAAGGCACTAACAGTGTAACCAGGCATACAAAAGGTCCACGTAATTGCATGCTTATTTTGCATTCCTTGGCATCAGTTTATGCAATTACTTGTGAGCCTAATTGGGCACTTGTGTTATGTAGCTATTTGATTTGCTTTTGGTTAGTGAATTCATATGCTTGAATAATTGCATAGCTATTTTGTGTACCTTATGTGAAAATTGAGCTCCATCTGAAAAGTGGTGTAAGCTGCATCAGAACCATTGACGTGTCTGAAGAAATCAAAAACAACAGGAATGATTATTTGGAATGAAATGCATAGAGTGCTTTAAGCAGAGTTGTGTGAAAATGCAGTTGGTGCTCTGTACAGATAAAACTGTATTATCTAACACTTTCCAATATTGAGGCTTTCAGATTTCAGCTTGTTCTTCTGTACCTAGAACGGTGTCTCCAGAATTTCACTTTGTTACAGATTATTAGGAAGACATTGGAGCGCAGAAGGCAGTAGTAGCCTGCAGTTCTGAAAACAGCTAGAGAAGATTCATGATGAGTTAAGGTTCTCTATACTTTGTGCTGAATTTCTCAATATATAGGGAGGCACCTACTCGGAACGTCCAGTTAGTGACTGCCAAAGCACGAAAACAAGCGTCACCACCAGTGCCAGGCTTAAGTGGAACTACTTGTTGCTAAACCAGGCTCTCCTGGTGCTTGTGCGCCCAAAGGAGGTCACAGCAGCCTTATCCACATTTAGCATGAGCCCCCTGCACGTCGTGATTCCTCTTCCTGTTGAACCTTTTCACGTAGCTGCTGCTGCTCCGGAGCAGCCCGTCCCCCGGGCGCAGGCGTCCTCGCAGCAAGCGCAGCAGCCGCGCCGGCAGCTCCCGTCTCTTGTGGTAGACACGGCCCATCACGATGTACCTGCTGCCTGCAAAACACACGTGAGCTCCGGAGGAGGCACGGATGGATTCCCTGCAGCTCCCGCGCTTCATTCCTCGCGACGGACTGAGGAGCACGGGCACGGAGCTGCACCCTGCACCCAGTGCAGATAACTCAGCATGTGGCACTCTGAACTTTAATGGGATCTCGGGCAATACTTGCACTAAAATAGTGATTTACTGCCTTATACTGCAACTGGAAGCTTTTGGTGAAAAGTTGCTATTTGATAACATTTGATACCTAGAAAACTACACCACTTCCAAAGACGTGGCATTAAATCAAAAGCTGCTTAAAAGCAGCTCCTGCTTAAATTCTTTTTTAGCAATCATAAAGATGTGTGAACTCATTCTGAAACTGGATAAAACAAGGACTAGCCTTCCACGCTTTTGCCATGCGCTTGGGCCTGTCCTGCAAATTTAGCGGGGGTGGGGGGGGAAAATCCACTTTAACAGTAAATGCAATTTCTTTTGAAAATATCACGGGACCCTAAGATGAGATTGTTAAGTTAGTGCAAACTGAAACTGGCACTGCACGCAGGAGTAGTGAAATGGATTGAGCTGGGTTTGTTTACCAAGTTTAAAGTCTGGGCATGGTTTACTGCAGTTTAAAGTATCCACAACTAGAATGTGAACCCGGAAGAAGAAACCATCGGGAGTAATATACAGGCGACTCATCTTGTATAATCCATCACTGTTTACCAGAAGAGTAATCAAGTGGACTCCTTGCCCCAAGCTTTCCATGTTATAAACAATTCCATTCACTGCTGGTTTAAGGAAGAAAAAGAGAAAAGAAAAAAAAAAGTCAGGTTTTGTATGTTGGTGACAATTCAAGGTGTATATATATGAGAACTCTCATTGAAAATCATGTAAAGTAAATGTCAGCACAAATTTATTTGACCCAGTAATGGCCATTCCTGAAAGTAGGGATTGCTTCAAATTATCACACTTGAGGAGGTCATCACGTTAGCATTGGCTGAGTTACTATAGTGCTAAGGGTCTGATATATGTATATATGTATAAAGGTTATAAAATGTTTCAAAATCAACTACTGAGAGTTGTTCAGTAAAGCAGATATAATGCCAGTTTTAGGCAAAAAGAACCATTACTTCTTACCTGTGTAACAGGTAAGACTGCAGGTTTCTTGTGCCTCTGGTTAACTTGGCACTTGCCAGACCCAGCAATAGGGCGCAGAGCATTAAGTGACTGACAGTAGAACATGGTCTGTTCAGGGCCCTTGTTGCTTCATGTGACAAGTGCCTTTTCTTTCAAACCTGAAATACTTTCTAAGCAGGGAAGGTGTAGGGTCCCCTGGGGTATCTTAATTTTGGTTTTTTTTTTTTTTGCTTTGTCATTTAATCTTTAATCTTACTGCAAATGTAGAGAAATGAAATGCTGTCTTGGATCATTGCAATGAATCTTCAGCTGATCTGTTTGCTCAGACTGGTGTTTTTTTAGTCCGGGTCATGTAAGGAAAACATACCTGTCATCTTCAGTTAAGAGATGGATAAGACAGCTATTTGTTAAAGGCTGAAAAACATAAAGGTCAGGTTGATACAAAGCCTACATTTGACAGGAATGCTTGAGGGTGAGGAAAAATAAGGAATATTACATTTGTAGAAAGCACTTCCTGACTCTACTTAGAGAAAACAGATGTCTCAGTGTGTTTATACTCCGCAAATGGAAACATCTGTTACCACTAGGCATGTATTTTGCTTATCTCCTAAAATACTGTGAGAAAAAGTTGATATCTATTTCACAGCTTCATAATTGTAAGAAAGTTTTCTTCGGTCAGACAATTCTTAAGCATTCAGCGTAAAAATGCCAGGCTGTTTTCTACCATCTTCAGTCACACCAACTGCAGGACTAAAGCCATTAAGTGTGGAGGACCTTCAGGAAGCCTTGCTGCAGAAAGGATCAGTACAGAAAGGATCAGTACAAAAAGCTGTTGGGGCCACCACTTGAGTTTGTTTGAAATTGTAGCCTCAAAACCACCAAGTCATTCTAAATATTAAGAGGTAAGTAATAACAGCTATCGTGTTTATCCTTAGAATATCTGAAACAGCTGCTTTACCAGTTCTATCACTCATTAACTGAAATACTGTCTTCCAGATCATCTGTCCTGTAGGAGTAGAGAATAGAGGGAAGAGCAGTACTAGACTAAGGTAGGAAAAGGGTAAGGCAAGGTTTGGTACTGTTTGTCTTAGTCTATCTATAAAGATGGGTCCTTTGAACATGTTAATGATACAGTTCCTTAAAAGCAGGAGTGAAGCGTCAGTGTTGGGTGGGTGGAGGTGGCCGCTGCCCCACGCGGTGTGTGGGGGGAGCCGCTTACCAAACTCGCTCGCGCAATAGGCGTCCACTTCATCCTGGTCCTGGCTGCACGTGCTCGCACAGGCCTCCTCCTTGCGGGCGTCTGCAAGGAGGACACCGGGCTGAGGGACAACGGCCTGGACTTCCTCACCCCCCGAGCTGCCAGCCTTGGGAAGGCCCATGGGGCTCCCGCCGGAGCCGTTACCTTTCCTCAGCCCACTGAAGTGATGCAGCACGTGGGGTGACTGGCGGTTGGTGACCCAGGAGGGCTTGGCCACCTTGAAGGCATCGATGGACTTATAGGGGCTTATCATGCCGGGGCGGTTGAAGCGATGCAGCGTGGCAGGGTCGTCTGTCTTGGCTGCTCCAGGCTCCGGGAAAGGGTGTATCCCTGCTAAGGATCTGCCCTTTTGGTAGGGGGATGCCGCGTGATGGAAAAGGGCTGACACGCTGTTAGCGGCCTCCGCCAGCCGCCTGTCCGCGGGCTTTCTGTTTGCGTGGTTGAAGGCCAGGGAGGTAAGAGGGGGCCCCTCCGTAGGGTCCTCCGGAGTCGAGCCCGCCCCATAGAGACTGAGGTGCTTCCTCAGCCCCGTGTTGTTCTCTAGGGAGGGCTTGGTCCGTTTCTTCTTGTCTGACGAGGGAGGGAGGATTTCGGCAGGTTTTGGCCGTTGCGTGTTCGTGGGGGACAGGAGCCGCTGTGCAGTGCGGTTCTCTCCGGCGCTGCTGGTGCCCCAGGCTGGGAGTTTGACCTGGCTGGGCATGGAGTCCGCTGAGCTGTAGGCATCTTTGCCGAAAGCCTGAATGGGCTTTCCAGGATAGGGCAGGAATCCTATATACAAATAATAAAAATATATATGTTTAAAATATATATTAAAAAATAATTGTATATAAAAAATATATACATTATATATGCATTGTATATACATTATATATACATTAAATATAAAAATATAAAAATATAAAAATATAAAAATATAAAAATATATCTATTTTTATTTCATGTTTGACCAAATGGGATGTGCTTGGCAGATCTGAGGCTCTACCTCCTAAGTGAGGTATGACAGTATGACTGAGAAAGAGCTCAGCAGAACGGAGTAGAGCTCTTCAGTTCTCTGTATTCTGTCCAGTGCAGGGAATGCAGCTGTGAGCAAAACACAAGAGATTTGCATTTTTACTTTATTATTATTGCAAATTAAAAACACAATTTATAAACAAATGCTTTTCTCAAAAGCTTGGATCTCCAGGGAACATGTGAGGAAACAAGGTTCATATTGCCATTTGGGATGCTTGTTTAAAAGACCAGAACAAGAGAAATATTTGGTTTTCCCATCCACGGGATGCCTTATTGACAGTGTCATCTGGACTTTCCAGTGGCTATGGGCTTGGAAAACTACTGTAAAGATTTTTATCTGGAATTTTAGATCTCTGATTTTTGCACTACATTTTTATGGGAGTCCAAGATGACACACTCTGGTAACTAGGCTATTGCTGCTGAATTGCAATTACTGAAGGCTGGTTTTGTTTTAGTAAGTAAAGAGGATAAAGACTTGATAAAGACAGGATGGGACTGACAATCTATTGAAAAATAGAAAGGCTGGAGCTCCGTTTACCTTCACCTCGATCATCTGAAGCTCACAAAACAAAATGACTTTCCACTTAGCCTGGGAAGAAAGAAATTTCCTCTTGCAGTTCATCCTCCCCTTGGAGCTCTTTATTGTCATGACTTCAGTTAGCCAGCACAGACTATTTTAAAACAGTTCACCCACACACAGCCGCTGTCTGGGTGTTCACTCTTTGTGGTTAGCACAGTGTAGGAGGCTGATCCTGACTCCTTTATGTGAAAAGACAGATTTGACATACCCAGATGAACAACGTTCTGGTTTATCTCCCATAACTGACTCTCAACTGCTGACCTTGCCATTTCTCCCCCTGCGCTCTCACCAGCTGCTGTCATGGGAAAGATTCCCTGATACTCAGGCTGGACACAAGTAAAGTCAAAAGAATGTCCATGAAGAAAGGGGTGGAGGAAGTCCAAGCTAGAGAGAGCAAGAGGCAAGGGGGGGTTTGGAGATGTTTCAACACAAAGCTGTGAACTCTGAACAGGTGTTTAGGACTTGCTTTTATAAATGTACTTTCAGTTTTTGCTTCCATGCTTTCTCAGTCATGGATTTTAATGAGAAATAGTTAATTTTCTCTACCCGATCTGTTCAGGACGTTGAAACTCATCCTCTTATCTCAGTCTATTCCCATCTAGCTCTTGTAGCCGAAATATAACCACACCAGAACCTCTTCTTTCTTCCCTATCGACTATGTCCTTTATGTCCCTATATTCGGTGGGACGGTAGAGCCTGCAGCACAGGTGGCAGCATGCAGAAACCTATGAGAAATCGGGAGCCTACAGGTGACAGGAAGGAGACCAAAAGGGAAAAAGTTCCATACAAAAATCCCGCGTGTGCAGACAGGTCGCACCTCACTTGCTGGCTGTGGCGAGCAGGACCCGGGGCAGCTGCAACCCGCCTGCTTGGGGCAGGTGCTTTTTCTTCTCTCAAACCCTCACAAATCCAGTCTTACAATTTATGTCCCATTAAGGTTCTGAAACACTCCGTTCTGGAGCCCTTGTGTGGCCGCAGCCACCTCTCACAGCAAAGACCACAGCGAAGCCAGGCTTCGAGGGCAAGAATTTGGAGTAATGAGTTCAGCCTCCCTTGATACCATAAGCAAATATGCCCCAGCCCCGCATTTAACATTAATAAACTTACCGGCCACTGAGCTGGAAGAGGATCTAATGAGAAAGCAGAGGAGCCAAAACACTTTGGTTGTCATGCTGAAGTAAAAGGTCTTTTTATTTTTTCTTTTCTTTTTTTTTTTTTTTTTCCCAGCCTCAAAATGAACTGGAGCCTTTTATGCCCTTCCCCCGATTCATGCTAATGAGAGGCAGCCTTAGGGGAAACGGGAATCACTCTCTGGACAACCCACTGGAGCCGGACCAAGGCGCGCGGTCCCGCTGCCTCCCGGAACGCCCGCAGCCGCCGGGACCCAGCGTGGAGCAGCCCCGAGCCCTGCTCTGCATGGGGGCCAGCAGGAGAAGCCTTTTTTTCGGAGGTGGGGAATTTCCTATTGTATTTTCCAGGGAAAATCAGACAGAGCAGCTGTACTTCTGGATGAAGAGCGGTGCGTGGACAGCAGAGCGAGCGTCGTGCACACGGCAGCACCTGTAAGCACGTGCATGTGTTGATGTATAGCCTAATATTTCTGGCTAGCCCTTCTGTATCTGTTAACATCTGCTTTAAAGAACCTTTTCCAATTTTCCTTTTAAGCCTGAAAAAATACAATAGTTATTATCCCATCCAAGGGAAAGCCCTGCTGATGCCAGTACAGCTCCAGCCTTAGTCTGCCTTTGCTAACAAGCAGAGCGCTGGAAGATTTCGCATGTCAAGGGAGCCCCCTTTTGGCTCACTGAATTAAGCAGGCTTACTCTTATTTTCCCAGCTGAAACGGGTGACCTTATTACTAGACTGCATTTCTGTTGCACCATTTTGCCTCGCTAGCCCGGGGGGGGATGCTGTGAAAGTTGGTAAACTCATGCATGTCTGTAAAGCACAAGGAATAACGTGGAAAGCCTATGGAAATGCTCTATCCATTACGCCATTTAATTAAATTCTTAAAAGTCTTTGTTCCAAGCAGCAGGAGGAGGATACAGACAGCAGGCCAGGATGCAAAACCTATGGAAGTTTTAACGTGTGGTAACTCCAGGTTAATGTGACTGTAGCATTTATCAATTGCGTTATGCTCGTCTTTCTGTCATTGTATTTTAATTGTGAAGGAAGAAGTGCTGGGGATGCAATTACCAGAAAAGCCCCAAAATCGTTTCCCTCGGTTCTCTCACGTGTGGAGGGCACCACGGGACCCACGCGTGACGCGAGGGCGGCGCCATCTCCTGCGGCCACCGCTCTGGGGTTTGGCCGTGGCCCCCGTCGCCGCGGTTAAAAGCGTTGCCGGCACGCGGTGCTGCCACCCCGGAAACCTCCGTGACGGGTATTGTGCTTTTTTAATCTTTTCGCCTGTAAATTCGCCACAAAACATGGCGCGGCCCGACCCAGATGGGACTCGAACCCACAATCCCCAGCTCCGGAGGCTGATGCCTTATCCATTAGGCCACTGGGTCACCCAACAGGAGCCGCGAGCGGCGCGCTCTAACCGCCCCGCCCGCTGCGCTCTGGCCCCGCCTACAAACCCACCGTTCACGTCGCGCCCACTCGTGGAGGGGAGCCCCGCCCACGTGCCCCATGGGTCCGCCCCCTTTGTGACTCCGCCCCCTGACGTCACCGCGAGGCGGGCGGGGCGGGTTCGCGCTGTCGACCTCCGTCACGGGCTCTTCAGGCTGTCGCTCGCGGCGACCGTTAGCGCCGCCCGCGCGGGGGTCGCGCCTCCCTCACGAGCTCCCCGTCCGCCATTGCCGCCCCTTGACCCACTTTCTTTCTTAAGAAGAGAGGGCCTCCTCTTCATGCGTCTCCTGGCATTAAGCTTGGCACTGCAGCCTCAACCCTTTCCTGCTTGTTCCAGCCTATCTCAGGCGTTAGCGCTATCTGCCAACAGCTTTTTCCTCCCCCAGGTTTTCCTTCCCTCATGGCTGCTTCTTCCTTCTCTGCACACTGTGGTGTCTATTATCTGTCCTAGCTTAGGCACTGCAGGGCATTTCACCCCAGCTTGCCTGGAGACTCATGGTAGCTCATTCAGCAGCCTGGCATTCCTCCAGCCTCCTGCTTTTACGACAACCCCTGGAGTGATGGTAGCCTCCCTCCCACTCCATGCTGTGTTCACCTCACCCTCTCCGGTACCTGGTTCAGGGCTACCTCAGATTTCCAAAACACAGGCAGCCCTCCCTTGCTCTGGGCCCTCAGAGCGGCTTTGGGCTCCTTCATCCAGGTTACGCTGCCCAGTGAGCCAGCTCTCTTCACACCACATGGTTGACCCTTCTGCATATGAGGTGTTTTACCGCAGAGTCTCTTTTGAGCTGCTCCCTTCTTTTTGTTGAACTACTCCTTTTCAGCACCTTCATATGTGACTGATTTGCTTTCTTCTCTCTCAGCTTCCTTACTCTTGCTTAAATGGGTTTTTGTGATGGCTTTATGAAGGTCAAAACAGTCACAGTCGCTGATAATAATTCCATCTCTACACATGCATTTATTAACAACTATATTGATCTGCAGATCAGTATAAGAAATTGTAATGAACAGAAGTCGCATCAATACGCATTTCTGACACTTCCTGGAGCTGTTCATCTGGAGCTGTACATTATGGCTAAAATTGCTGGCAGGATCTTCCCCCTCTCCCTAGGTTTTAAGGCTTGAAGGGCACCTC